TTGGCCCTTCGGTTCCCTCATCTCCACCCGCAGTCGGTCCTTCTTGTCCACCTTCAGCGAGCAGGCCAGCACATGCATCTCTGCGAATTTACTCAGTGCTATGAACAGGAAGCTAAGAGATCGACGCTCTATGTCGTCGCTCTCCGCCTCCTGCTCAAGCTCAGCAGCTGCCGTTGCCCGTGGCGAGAACGCGCTGCCCCTCCTTGCCTTCTTGCTCTCTCCTTGCACGCGAGTCCAGCGCTTGCTCTGCAGCCACTTCCCCAGCTTCTCCTTGAGAACGTTGCGTCCCACTCCCTGCTCCTCTGGCATCTTCGCCCACTCTCCCAGCGACATGAACTCCAGGCTCCCCGGAGAGTAGAAGGTGTCGTGGAGGTTGCCAACGGCCTTGTCCAGGACCAGCTTGATCGGCTCGCTCGTCCCCGCCTCGTTCAAAGAAGCTGCATCTTCGATGACTGCTGACAGCTCGCTGACGAGCTGCATGTCCTCTTGGCTTGACGGAGATGCTGCCTCCATTGTGATCCTCTCCAGGTCTGTAAACTCCAGCCACTCTCCCTCGCTCTCCTCCTGTCGCTGCGCTGCGTCGCTGGTGCCCCGCTGACCAGCCGCCTCAGGCTCCTTGTCGAAGCCGACTGCTTCGAGCTTGGTTGCTGCGCCTTCGAGATAGAAGGGCAGCTCCTTCATCATGCGTCGAGCATCCTCCGTGGAGCCGAGGAGGATGCATAGCTTGGACCCGTTCCAGGACTTGGTGTTCAAATCCTCCTCCATGTCGATGCCTTCAACGTTGATCTCGAGCCTGTTAGCGATCTCCAACAGGACTCTCTTGACTCTTGCGATGGACGTGTTGCCGCCGTTGCACAGCCCCTCCATCTCCTTCCTCGTGAAGCGACCAGATGCCGCCGTCGACTTGATGATGATCTTGATCTCCTTGCCGTCCTTGCCGCCTGCCTTCTTCTGCATCCTTGATGCCTTCTTCAACTTATTTCTGGACACAAAGCGATCAGCTGTCAACTCGACTGCGAGCGCCTCTCTGATCTTCGGGTCCTCGCTGAACAGAGTCAGGTGTACTCCCTCCATCGCTTCGCTCTCTCGGAAAGCTCGAAATGCTGTATCATTCGCCTCTGGGCAGCTCGAGGAGACGATCCACTCCACCTCCCTCTGTCTCCAGATGACGTTGGCCCCTACAGCGACGAAGCCTTTCTGACCTAAGCCTTTGTGGACTTGCTGTCCTGGCGCCCCAGCGACCAGCATGCCTGCCAGCGGCTGGAGTTGGACCGCTGCAAGGGACTGGCGCAGCAGCTGATAGCGATAGACGGCAGCTATCTCAGCCGTTGTCATGCCGCCCAAGGTTAACAGGTGGGTCAGCTCTGCCAAGCTGCCCCCTTTGCCCCAGGGTCCTCTCTTGGCTCGAATCTTGAAAGATCGATCGTGCACGATGCTCACATGTACAGCTGTGAACTTGCGACCATCGATCGCGAAGTCCTCTCTTCCCTGCCAGAGCTTCTCCGCTTGTGCATTGCGGAGGAAGGAAACAGTCACCGGGATCTCCTCAGCACTCGCTATCTCGGGTCTATACGGAGCCTTCCACATGATTGCTTTACTCTCTTGCACTGAGTCTACGATCAGTCCGATCTCTTCAAATTTCTTCTTCAGCTTTTCTTCATGGTTGACATACACCGAGGAGATGCCCAGGAGAGTCATGGAGATGAAGGAAGTCACCTCGTTGCCTGCTGAGGCGGTGTATGTCTCGACCTTCTCCTTCTTGGCTTCTTCAATCTGCTGCATAAACCACTCTCTGGATGCGTCACTCCATCCAGTCATCGCTTCTTGCAGAAGCTCACGTCGTGCCTGCTGACATGTCGAGCGGATGGCTTCTGCGATAGCGTCGGGGGTGCATCCCTCCACAGCCTTGCAAGCCTGGGCTGTCCTGCTGTTCGGATAACGCTTCGCGAAGCTCTTCACCCTCTCGACGAGATCAGCTTCGAGGACAGAGGCATCCACAAGTCCGCTCTGCGTGTATTGGCATGATCTCCGATACAGCAGGTTGCGAACATTTTCATCATACTGAAGAACCATACTTAGAAAGCTATTTGAAGTATACAAACCTCTCGCTTGCAGCTTCCTTGGCGCCCTGGCGGCTTCCCCTACACCTGGCAAGGAGCCATGCTGCCGAAAATAACGGCGCCTGCCGAAAAGAGCCATGCTGCCGAAAATAACGGCGCCTGCCGAAAATAACGGCGCCTGCCGAAAATAACGGCGCCTGCCGAAAATAACGGCGCCTGCCGAAAATAACGGCGCCTGCCGAAAATAACGGCGCCTCCTAAACCCTAAACCCTAAACCCTAAAACCCTAAACCCTAAACCCTAAACCCTATACCCTAAACCCTAAACCCCTTTCCCCTGTCGTCCGATGATCCATCTGTCTCCTGTGTCCTTGCCCCTTCCTTGCCATGTTGGTTGTTTTTCGCCTATGAGGCTTCACCTTCGGTCTGTCCGTTGACCGTTGCCCTTTCGTCTTCCATCTGTCTTCTGTGTCCTTGCCCCTTCCCAGCCATGCTGATCCTGGTTGCTAGCTTTTGAGGCTTCCCTTGTGATCTGTCCTCGTTGATATTTACCCCTTCATCTTCCAACCCTCTTATATCCTTCATGCTTGTTCTCTGTTGGTCGTGTCTCCTCGTCTCGTTGAGGTCCACAGCATGTGTTGCACTTCGAGCAGCTGGATGACTATCTTGGTCATGGCTCTGTCAATCATATCCTCGTCCATGAGCAAGTTCCGGAAATTTGTGGTCCATTCCCGCTCCATAATACTGCCTCTCACTCCTGCAATGAACGTGGCTTGTATGACCTCTGTGTTGTCGCTCCTACTTGTCATCTCTGCCCGCAGTGCTGCATATTTCTGTTCTTTCTCCTGAAACTTTGCTTTCAGGTTTGCCAGACTGCTTCCCTCGCCCGTGAACTCTGAAGTTCTTGCTATCTCCACCAGCACAATGCGATTGCTCCCTCTGAAGTAGCAGAGCCCATCTGGTATAAGATTGCCGTGCTCTGGTGCAGTCAGTCCTAGCCCTGTCATAGAGTTGATTGGCGTTTGCCACCAACTCTCCTGTTCAACACTTTTCTTCTTCCAGCTTTCTGTCAGGCATCCCTTGATTGTCTCCATTACTCTGTTGTGTGCCAGAGCGATCATGAGCTCAAATTCTTTGCAGGCTAGCTGGATATGCACCCAGCTTTCTTCCCTGCCTTCGCACCATGGGCAACAGGGGGATGTCGTCTTCTTCCACTGGAACAGCTTTTTCCTCGTAGGTGCTGACCAGGTAATAGCTTGGATGGCTGTCCGAAGTACTGATCCTCGACACCTCTGTAAGGCTCGACCTAGGATCCTTCTGCCCACTTGTGGTTCCAGGAGAAAGGTTTCCGTCAAGGTAAGGGGGGCTTCTTTCCTCCTCAGTTCCAGTTGTTCTTCTCTGATTATCTTATCCCATATTTTCAGTCGATCCATCCCCGGCTTGAAGTTCTCTTCGTCTGCAATGCAGAATCCCAAGTCGCTGTCGATGAGGGCCCTTTCCCACGTGGAGGAGAAGGAGGATTTTCCCTTGCGAGCTTCCTCTGCAGCTTCTTGCACTACGGTGTGGTCTGCGATCAGAGAGAGGTTGATCTCAATGCCTTCCCGCTGAAATTTGCTCAGGCATTCCTGCAGTCTTCCTGCCAAGTCGTATACGAGCTCGTCTTCATACTGCATGGTAGACCATCTGAGGGTGTCCGTAAGAAAGCGATGCATTCGGGTTGATTTAAAGAGGACGAAGATTTTCCTGATTGTTTTCTGTTTGCCTCTTTGTTCCCAAATCGCTTGTAGGAGTATGCAGAGTGCGATGGTATGTGCTCTGATGACGCTACATTTTCCGTGTATCTTGATCGCTCCGCGTTCCTGCTCTCCTTCCTTTTCTTGCGTGCTGTATCCTATCGACATTGATCGACCCTTCCTGTTTCGTGATATGTCGCCGTGGATTGCGGACCACACGTGGTTCCTGTTCTTCTCCTGTTTGGCCGAGGCTTGATAGTTTTCGTTTTGCTTCCTTCGGTATTCTTGTAGCTCCTCCTGTTCAGGGATCAGGTGTACTGTGAGTTGGACAATTATTCTCTCTTGTTCCGACTCTTTGCAGTAGACAATCAGGTCGTCTTGTGACTTCCTGAGGCTCCGATCGCCCGTCCTCCAGAAATTTGCAGCGTAACATATTTCTGATCCTTTAGGTACCTTACCGACTAAACCCTAAACCCTAAACCCTAAACCCCAATCCGATTTACTGGTTTAGGGTTTGGGCCGACTTGCAAACGCATCCGGTCCAGGATCTTTCGTCAGCTCAAGGCCTCGCTGTCCTACGCTGCCATCATCGCGGGTGCATCCCGGTATGCGTCTCATTCCTTCGGCGGCGGCGCTGGCATGGCGGCGCGGGGGGATTGTCCAGCGCGCAGTTAAGTGAAGGTATCAGTTAAGTTTGGGGGACAGCAGTTGGCAGGATTGGGTTTGGTTCTCGCTGTCTTTCTTTTCTCGCCGTTTGGCCTGTGCGACTGTCAGTCAGGGTCAAGCCGCCGGAGCCTCCTGATTGTCCTCGTACTGATCTTTAACTTAACTTTGAGTATAAGATTAACTGTCCGATCTGATAGAAATGTGTGGCCCCACCACCCCACCCCCTTCCACAAACAGCTTCGCGCCATTCATGGCTTCTTCGCACACATGCTTGTTTGGCCATCAATGCAAGGTACATGATGAAAGCACTCGATTGTATCAATGCTGTGAAGATGCAAGCCTGATGTGCCATCATCTTTGCGTGAATGAATATGTTGATTCGGAAGGATACACCAGCTGTGAGCAACGTGGGAAAACAGCCATTCCATCAATTCCTCAAGATGCACTTGCTTGCAAGAAGTCATGTAGAAGGATCTAATCATGGCACAGAGTGGATGATGATGATGACGATATGATTTTGATGATGCTGAGGAGGAGGTGGTGGTGGAGCACGAGCTGGAGCACACTGACATGCAACAGGACGAGGTGACGAGGACGAGGACGAGGACCGTACGGAGAAGAAGGGTGCCTTTGGGGAATGTGAAGAAGAAGAGCAAGATGTAAGAGGGCAGATAGAATCAGTAAGTGGAATCTGTAAGAGATTGGATGGGAAAGAGATTGGATCTGTAAGAGATTGGTCAACCCGAAGACCTCCTCTTGGAGTTCTGTAAGCCAACAGCTTAGTAGTGATCGCGCCATGGGAGGGGGAGGAGACTCGGCGGGCTGCAGTCGGCACTCCGCTCTCCCTACACGCCGCTGATCCCAGTCCCCCGCGGGGCAGGATACTCGCCAGTCAGGAGGTTTAGTAGACGGTAGCCCGGCCTGTCGGGGGAGGCCTGGGATAGGCGGCTCACCAGTCTGGCAGGAGGCGGGGAAGCCTGTCACGCCCCCGTCACGGTGCAAGCAAATCAAAAAGAATGGTATAATGGCTGACGAAGTGTCAGTGGTGCGGGGTTTGAAATGGTGCAGATCCACCAATTGTGTTCAAAACCGTATCAAGTCTCGTGATGTCAATGCTGCTATGAATATTCTATTGTGCTACATGTCTCTACCAGCACGACCAGATTTTCTGAAACGGCCTTGAATTGGCACACATGAGTCTGATTATACTTAACCTGTCCTTCATAGGATGAAGTACGAGTCAGACACAAGAAAAGTATTGGCGCGTGGGTCTTCAATGATCCATAATTTCGACGGAAAACTTAGAATTGTAAAATTTTATGTTTTGTGTCGTTTAGCTAATAAACCCTTGTGCAAAAATGAAAAAATCGAATCAGATCAATCCTCTTGTGTTCGAGGCGATTGCAGTGCAGAGGGATCGATTATACTCCTTTCAGAAATTTGCTTCTGTTGCTTCAAGTCAGTTCATTGAGCTTGTTCAGTGTAAGATAATCACTCACTTTAGCGAGACATTATTATATTTCCCTTGGCATTTTTTTTCAAAACGAACCAACTGACCAATGAAGCTTGGGTTGGGACAAATATTATACCTAAACTGTGGTTTAAGCTTTGAAAGGAATTACACGATTTGAGCGTTACCTTGTCCTACGGATTAGCAACAGCGCTTCATTCAGTGAGAGTCTGTCTCTCTCCATCAAGTAGGCGCACACGCATGTAACACTTCTTGACATTCCTGCGTAGCAATGCACAAGGACTTTCCCTTTTCCGAGGCCTTTGGCGATAAAATCTGAAGTGATTTGAAAATATTGTGTTAGGTCTTGGGATTCATCATCGTTAGTTTCCAAAATCTATAACATACGTTAGATTCACAAGGCGAAATCTCTCATAGCATTACCAAGTACTCGAAATCATTTGGAAAGTAACAATCTTCCCTTCCATGTAACCAAGGTTCATCGTAGACCCTTCCCCCGACCAGATTTATGATATGTGTGATACCCTTCTTCTCTAGCTTAGTTTTGTCAGCAGCAGCTATTATTCCACTCAAATACAGCCCTTTCTTGATCTTATGAACTGTAATGTAGCAATCAGTGTGTGGTCGCAGGAAATTTCTTAAGCTTACGTTTGTCAGCACGGCATCCATGTAGCTGCTGTTTGATATCTACAAAGTGTTGTTGTGAATTTTCGCCTTGAGATATTGAGCTCATGCACTTTCCCATGATGCATGTGCAACCTCAAGAATCACTGAGCCCTCGAGAAATCTACGATTGTTCAATGATCTTGTCGCACCTAAACCAAATAATCAGCCTCAAGCAAGTAGAGAGTTCAGCAGGAAATGATCAAACATGGAGTGTTTGTAGACGTTGAGAAAGTAATTCTGATGTGCTCTTGCAGAAACTCTATGTCACATCGATATACACAACTACTATCAGCAGCGATTGACCGTACTGTATTAGACCAAGTCAGACATAAAGAATTAACCATCCCCACTCTGCCCTATTCTCTTTCTTAGTATACATGGGGAAATTCCGGCCTATAACCAAAACGCATTCACAGACGCATGATACAGCATCGGACACGTGCATTAGGAATGAATACACAACAGCCAATCACCCCATACCACTCAAGCCTACAGTTCCGTCACAAAGTTTTCAGATTTGTATCTTGTTTCTATGTAGTGATCAACATTCTTTGATGAATTCTCTTGCATTTTGTTTGCTTCGTGTCATATTCCCCAGGATGTACTTGAGCCCCAGGACCCACCCTTCAGATATCACTGTGATGGATTGTGCTATGGTAGGGTGGACAGATGACGACATTCCCCATAATTCAGCCCCCTACGGTGGCCCCTACGGTGGCCTGCCTTAGCCTGGGTCATAGTAGCGGCCTAGATGCTGCGTGGGCGCGGCCCGCCGGTCGGCCGGGTCCGCGGGCCGGGCCGGCCCGGGCCGGCCCCCACACTTGACACCGATGATCAAGTTTTCAAGTCACGCCCGGCCGGGGCCCGGCCAGGGCCGTTTGCCGCCGCCCCGCCCGGCCTGGCCCGGGCAAACGGCCTGGCCGGCCGTTTGCCCGCCGGACTTGCCGCCGCGCCCCCGCCGCGGCGGGCCGTGATTGCCGCGTGCCGCATGCCACGGTGCCGCCGTGCCACCGTGAGTCCCCGGTAGGCTACCGTCGGTACTACCGTCACTGAAACTTACTACCGTACGGTTTACAGTACGAGGACAATCTTTACTCAAAGTTAAGTTAAAAATCAGGACTCCCGGAGTCCGGGAGGTACTGAGTAGTACCGTACGGTACCGCCGTTTGTAGGCTCTGCTGGCTGCTCCGACAAGATGGTGGCACACGCGGCACGGTGTGACGGACCTGACCGACGGTCACGGCGGCGGCGTCGTTCCGAGTTCTGAAGGCTGCGGCCAGTGCCTTGCTGCGGCTCGTGTGGCGGCAGGCTACTACCAGTGAATCGGCATCGAATCTCACGTAGTCTCTGAACGAAGCGAAGACTGTGACTCCCCGATCACTGTAAGCTTTTTTGAACAACGATCGAGGCCCTGGTTTTCATCTGCCAAGTTCTTCATGAGTCAAGCAGCACGCCATTACGCAACCGCTGGCATGGATGTGGCCGTTTTGCTGCATGCAAGATACAGGTAAGGTATCTTTATTGCCAGTCTTCAACATCTTTTTTCTTTTTTTATCAAATGTTGAATCATCACCACAAACAGCGATGAAAAGATGAAACATGGACGGGGCGGGCAGCTTCTTAAACTTCAAGCAACAGGAACAAGGGTGTCAAATGTCATTGGAAGACCTTTCAATCAATCTCTCCATGATCATAATGAAAACCAAGAGAAACACGTGCATGTTGAGGCCTCACAAAAATCAAGTTCGATAGATGTCAGCATTGAAGCTAGTAAGGCAATACCGGACAATTGCGCACTCGCTCAGATTAGCGTGATTGAATCCTCGCCCGATCATCTGAATAGCGCCTTCTCGTACAGGTTCACACGTAAAAGTCTCAAAAGTTCTCTCTTTTTTGAGTCTACCATATAGACAAGGATGGCGGAGCGCACCCAACAGAGTATCTGGGAAAGCAGATGAACCCGTCAGCATTGTGATACGAATGCGCACATCTGAGGACGTGCTTCGTTCGCAGGTGATGTTGACATGGAAAGACATTGTGCCTGCAGGTGTGTTTGATCCGTTGTGACTGAATGCTATAGATGACGAACTTGGCAAAAATCTCCTGCAGCAGGGGATCTCTCGACGCGCTTTCCAAAAACACGCGATCGAAGCTAATTCCGTACGCTTTTCTTCGCCGCTTCCGTAAACTGTCTCTTAGACGCTGGCAGAACCAGGAGTGAAGGAAGACTTGGCTTTAGCTTGCAAAGCAATCAAACTTTCGCAAACGGGCGTCAATCTGAGGTGAAGTTTTGTCAACTATCATGCTGGCACATGAGTGAGGATTTCCGTCACAGCATGAAGTCCAGATGCAACCAATTGACATCCAGCCAAGAATCATGTTTGTCACTAAAACTAAGACTCCCCAAATCTCAAAGATGGCGAAGATCCCGGCAAATTTGGCCGGACATTCATTGTTCAGAAGCAGCTTCCAGCCGCATGTCACATCTACTACGAGTAAGTTCGCGCCTGGGGAAATTTTGAAGGGCAAGATTCGACCAAGGCATTTATCTCTTACAGGGGGAGGTAGCAATGAAACCCAATTGTCAAGATTCTTTCCAACATCTTCTCTACGTCCAACACCATGAGGATGCTGAAACAATTTCAAACTTGATTTACTCGCTTGTATACATTGTACCATGATATCAAACTTTGGATTTTCATTTAATATTGCTCAAAAGTTTGATTGAAGTACTTGCTTTCCCATAATCCAAAGCACGATTTTTGAAGTTAGATCCTTGTACCTAAAGAAGACTTTGAATCTAGGAATCTCCCGACAAGATGGAAATATCCTTACCCAACCAGCTCGAGGAAAAGGGGGGAAAAAATAAGGACAACAAAGAGAGCCAAGATTACTGTCAAGATTAACATCCGTGATTTCCTTGATCCTTGTCTCCTTTTTGGACCATAACAATCTACCTGAAAGCAAATCATACCATCGAACAGGTGTCCGAAAACTCACCTCAATATCATCTTCATCACCATATGCTCTTGATCTTGACGGGGGGGTTTCTAAGTCGTCTTTCCTCTCACGTGAAGATTCTCGCCTTCTCCTCTCTAGCATGGCTTCATTGTCTCCCATCGAGTTCAACATCCCCTCCACCATCTCGCAGCCTGCCACTCCGATCGACCACCAGACCCACCACCCCCTGATATACCATCCCTACCTGCTCAAACGGGACCCACCCCTGGTTGTCCCATCAAGAAAAGATCAAGAACCCCATTGCGGCAATTTTTTGTGGCAGCCATATCTTTCTCATGGCGAGCAGCAACTGAGACTTGTAGTTCTTGTCGCCTCCTCTCCTCGTCCTGCGACAGGCTGCCGTCTTGACTGCCCCCTCCTCCACCTTCTCATTCTAGCCATGGGGCGAACGTCGAAGAAGCCGCAATTCAACAGCCAGGAGGCCGAGGAAGATTATCCTGTGAGGTAACTCTGAACCGACGGCTAGTTACAATGAAGGCAGGACGACAATGGAACCAGGCATACCTCGGAGTTCGAGCAGAAGTACATCGAGTCGCTAATCAACCGAAAGCCAAGGATGTCCTGGGAAGACTTCAAAGAAAAACACAAAGAGCAACTTTCAGATCGGCTTGGGTCTGGTATTGAGAAGGAACAAGCGGACTACCGCAGACTTCTAGATGAGGAGCGAAATCGCAAGGTAAGATCGCCATGTATGACAGCTGATCTAGTGCGAATTCACACTTGCAGCTTTCTAAAGGTATGAATAACAAACACTTAACAGGAAAGAGCAAGAAGGTTTTCACTTACCCCAGAGTCAACCTGCACTGACAGTGTTTGTAGGACAAAAAGTCGAAGAAGGAGAAAAAAGACAAGAAGGAGAAGAAGAGAGAGAAGAAGCGGCTCAAGCGTGAAAAGAAGGAGCAGAAGAAGAAAGCTGAGGCCAGCAGGCATTCGCGCTCGTTCAAACTTTACAACCTTATGGAGTGGATACAGGGGATCCGAAGCAGATAGTGGAGCCAAGAAACGAAAGCGAGATGCGTCAACCAGCAGCGACAGCAGCAGTGACAGCAGCAGCAGCAGCAGCAGCAGTGACAGTGATGATGATGTAGTATCCCTCCTAGTATTCCTTCAGTTGTATTGACTGTTTGATCGTGACAGGGGCAGAGGAAGAAGAAAAAGAAGGAAGAGAAACGCAAGGAATCTGGTCCCGTCCGTCTGTCTGATTTTCACTCAGGAAGGTACGACAGCAACAGTGACTGAACAAAAATCCATGATTTCTGAGAATGTGCTTCAAGTCGTTCATAAAAGAGAATGACTGAGACCTCCCCCGCTATCTTGTTTGAGAAATAAATTTAGCTAGCATTACATGTTGGGAAAGCTAAACTAATGCTCATGTAATTGCAATAGTTGATGTCGTAAAGATGTCGATATCATCGAACAGAATGTCGAGCATTGGTATGCCTGTGCATATCACATCAATCAACTGTACAGACAAGCCATTCCCTCGCACCAGTTCGAAGATTGCATCTGTATGACTTCAATCCATCTCGATTGTTCCATCACCCTAATTGCAAATCAGTGAAACGGACGATTTGTCGTTGTCAGCCACTACCCCTGCGCCGCAAAGTGGATCTTGTTGCCGTTGTGAAGTTTTACTTCGATCCCGAAGTGCTGGAGGGGCAAGTCAAAGGTGAAAGGGCTGCCCAACACCACCTGTCTTCCAAACTGCTTTGAAAGGACCGCACAGTCTCTTAGCTCCGCCTGTGAAGTCCCATAAGCAAGGATAACCATGTCCATTACTGGTCACTCTGAGGGTGATGCTGTTGTCGACTGCTGGAGTTGCTCCTTGCCTATCATTCACTTGCTTTCCTGCCCTTGAAATGAGACGCAGAAAGTGTCTCGACGTCAATGACCGTTAGTCCTGTCTGCACTCCTGTAAATTTCCAGAATGCCAAGTGAAGCGACGACCCTCCTTTCCTTCCAAGTGTTCAAAATTCCGACTTTCTGCTCACGCTGCTCAGAAGCAAATAACAAACCAAAGACACATTTCGTAAAATCAATCAGGAGCAGGGTGAAAGGGTATACGGGGTAGTTCCCATTGTCATGATGCAATCAGCAAAACCATTGTATGCATGTATAACACTCGAGCATTGCAATATCTGCCACAAGGACAGTTGAATACCTGCTTCAGATATCCTTCATGTCTCGTCCAATGCGGCAAGTTAACAAAAGAGGAGTTCACGGCTGACGGAATGAAGGAGGACTCGCTTGAGGAGTGCATCTGAAGGTGATGTATGTCCTGGTTGATCACGATGCACTCGGCCCTTGGAATGCTTCCTCGACTAGACGAGCGCTCTGGAGGACCCTGTGCTTCCCATCCGTCTAAACTTCCTGCTGTAAATGCCACCTCCGAATTTGATACTGAGGACGAACTTGGCGTGACAGCATTCCAAGTTTGCTGCGCAGAAAGAGCATCTTCGCTGGCCCTCTGAAGTATAAAAATCAAGTTACATTTTAGACGTGCAATACAAAAACAACATTGGAAATCTTGTTTGCTTCCAGCTGTTCTACCTCGGACTGATCTGCCGTAGGTGTACTGTTAGAGGAGTCCAACTATCAGAAACGAGTCAAGACCACTTAACATTCCAATGCTGCACAAACTACCTTGGTGTCATTAATCATCGATCGTATGAGGTTCAAAACGTCTCGATAGGAGGATCCTTGCGAAGAGCTGAAACGTGATGTCAATGAGAGGCAGCGAGAAGTGAATGATTGACAAACAAACATCCACTTCTACACAACGAAGGGATATCCATCCACACCTAATTCTTTGCTTCACTTCAATCCATTGTTTCAGGCGCATTTGGTGTGCATCTTAAACCATTACGTCAGAGAAAGAAAATTCCTACACGTGCACCAACCGAGACGAGTAAACAAAGAGAGCAAGTAATCAATGTCAGTCTCAATGCCCTCAATCTAATCTCAAATCATCACAAGTCAATCAGGATCCAAGCATATCAAACATCATCGATGGACAAGTGATGTCTCAATGCTTTCTTATGCCAAGCTATGCTCAGCTCATCATCACCAATGGTGCTTAGCGCATGTCCTGCAGCAGATGTTACAACTGAGCATGATGAAAAACAAGAACCAAGATCATTGCAGGCCGTAGCCTGCACTCTCCTCCTCCCATGTGCGTCTGTAAGAGCACGGAAGTAGGTCAACACTGGAAGGACATCCGCCTATTTGCATGAGATCAAACGATGCAATCTTTGATATTCCGGCAACCGAGTTTGATGCATTGCCATCGCTGATCCTTCTACGCGTCGATTCTACAACATTCCTTAACCTTGCATGTTTCTTCGAATAATCCGTCAAACTCCATGATCGAGAAGGGCAGGATAACCTGAACGGATCGTGCAAAAAACGCGATCCTTTCTGCATCTGCTTACAATCAGGCATAGAATATTGGAGCGACACGAATGGCAACCGATCAAACCACTGCTACTATCGGCAGTGAGCTTGCTGAAATTCTGTAACCTCTCTTGGATCTCGGAAGTTTCTTTGAGTGACAATAAGTTTGGGAAACAAATTATCAAAACCTAACCATTCAGCTCAACACCTTGACCCGAAGTTTCCTTACGATTGCTGTCAGCATATGGACTCTTCGGATTCGTGTTACCTGATTCATTATTCCAAGAAGGAGCATAGTGTTTGCAATCTCATGTTTCCTTCTGATTTGCAGTGAATTAGAACATCACGACACCTTGACCTCACAGTATCACCTTGCCTTGAGCACCCACTCGCTTCTATTGCACTTGCTTGCACAAGATTCTTCTTGTTCGAAATGAACTTTTGCAACTGTCACCTATCAATCAGTCAATTCTCCAGCTTTTTCACCATGAAATTCTTTCCTGTCCCGTCAGGATGGCAAGACATCCCAAGTTTGCGTGCGCGGCACCTTCCCATGCAGCCTGTTCCAGGGATGCACTTTGAGTTCATCAAGAGAAGATTCAAAGAGAATCTACTAGCTGTCGGTTCGAAGCCGAAAGTTGGAGCATCTTTTGGTAGGCCGTCGCAGCCCTTTCAAAGCATCCCACCTGTGACACTACATCAGAGGCCTACAGATGTCTGCAAGTGTGCATGCCTTCATCGCAGCATTTCCAAGAGTCTGCCAGGAGAAGAGTGCTTCGAGAATATGATGAGGGTGATCCCTGGCAAGTTTTCACTCACACACAAACATGAGCCCTTCGCCATCATCTCAACATTGTATTACCAGAAATATCTCATGCTTCCATCCCCTTCTCTTCCCTCCCTCCTCCCTCCTCCCTCCTCCCTCCTCTCTCCTCCCTCCTCCCTCCTCCCTCCTCCCTCCTCCCTCCTCCCTCCTCCCTCCTCCCTCCTCCCTCCTCCCTCCTCCCTCCTCCCTCCTCCCTCCTCCCTCCTCCCTCCTCCCTCCTCCCTCCTCCCTCCTCCCTCCTCCCTCCTCCCTCCTCCCTCCTCCCACTCACATCAGCGCTTGCTCTATTGCTTGTACTCCCACAGCCATTTTCAGGCTCAACCGGTGACCTTGCAGTGACCTGCCGTGACCCGGGGAGGCCCGGCCCGGCTCGGTTTCTAGCGCTCAGCCCCTCAGTCCCACTCAGACCACCATCCCTGCCGCAGCTGCGGGCGCAACCAGCGGGAGAGGATGGCGGGAGAGGAGGGAGGCCACAATGGTAGAAGAGCCGCGCGTGGTAGCAGAGCCGCTCCTTCGCCTCTGCTCTTCCTCCTTCACTTCTATAGAGCATTTCCGTCTTGCTTTTGATTGTTTGTTCCTTTCAAGGCGAGCAGTCTCTACTCCGACATCTGCTCGTGCGTCAGGAGTTGTTTTGTAGTGATACGAGTTGGAAGTAACAGATTTGGAAGGTCGGCATCAAACTTACTCGATACATTTAATATCGATCTTGAAGCTTCGAAAATCCACAAGACACTCTAGGAACTGATGTTGAAAGTTTGCTGAAAGTACATACAGCCCAAGGGCTCGATTGCACAGGAGAACAGGATCTTGAAGCCTAGACGAGCGACAAGAGTTGGACAGCCGCTCTCTTCAGCACTTACTGAGGGGGGGGGCGCTGTCCCCCCCACCTTTCCTGACAGCCCTCCTGGTTTTCACTGGACGGCAAGTCGGCTTTGATTGTCGAAGACAGGAATCTCAAGTTGAACAGGCTTTGATTGACCTGAGATAGAATTTGTGAGAATTCAGAGTCAGCAGGCCGGGAAAGATGCAAATGCAGCATAAGTTTGCAAGAAGGCGAAGACTGCCTTCCGGATGGCATCTTCCCATCTTCCTTCTTTTAGCTGTGGTGAGCGACCTTTATGATTTCAGCTTGGGCTCGACCGGACCAGTTAATTCTTTGGGGAATTCGTTTGAGGGTACTGGAAGTTCAGCATCCTTTCATCCGAAGAAAAGCATTGGGGTTCTGGTTCCGGATCACTTTCCAACACTGAATGAAGCATTTCAAGCAGCTGGAAGTCCAGATGTAAGTTGTTGGAGTTTGAGTGAAGAAATGACATTGTTTCAGGTAATTACCTTACGAGAAGGTGAACATCAGATTGGAGAGCACTTAATCAAAGGGGGACTATTTCACGGCAATGAACCCAAGCACTTCAGACCGGAGATTGAGATCAACAAGAAATTGTTGTTGCAAGGAGATCTGGCGGGCAGCGAAAAGCCCTTGTTGAAAGGAAAGGTGGTGCTGCAGCAGCCAGTCGACATAGAAACATGGAAGCCTGAAGAAGGCGGGGGGACTTTACAACTGATGAGAATTTGGTATCAGGAACCGACTGTACACGATTTTTGTCTTTTTTTGGAAGGTGGTGCTTGGTTAGTTGAAGAGTGCGAGATACGGTGCACGGGAGAATTCAGCAAGGCCGTCTGGTGCTGTGGAGGGAAGTATGTCTTTGATGACAGTTACCGAGGAGGTGGTAAAATTGTTGATCATTTTCCGGGCCCAGACGCGCACATGAGACGATGCACCCTGGGAGGGTTGACTGATAGCTCCAGTCTGTCGGGGTGGGGTGTCTTATGCTGGCAACTGTCACAAGTCTGCATTGAAGATTGTCTGGTAGAAAATACTGAATATATCGGAATCAGTGCATGCCATGCCAGCGTAGTGGAAGTCAACGGTTGTACGATTCAAGGTTGTAAGATAGGAGGTCTCATGGTCGACGAGGAAGCAAAAATGACAGTGCAAGCATGTTTGATCAAAGACAACAAAAGTGCCTTCGTTGCAGGAAACGAAGCTCACTTGGCTGCCATGGAAATTTACGATAGTGTGATACACGGACGCCCGTGGCATGATGCGTGGGGAGGAGAGATTATTGAGGCTGACAGAGAGGTAGATTACGGTGACGGTCTCCCGTTGTTTCTGGGCACTTGGACCGATCGTGGAAGAATTCCGGATCCCGACCCTACAGATGTTGAGCGATACGTCCGAAGGGTGCGCAAGAACACTTGGAGCATGCAACCAGTGAGAATATCAAGGGCAGATGCTGAGCAGATGGGGTTGGACCCTCCTAAGAAAACCATCACACGCATCGTTGGTCGTCCTGGCAAGTTAGAAGAAAGTGCAAACCAGTATGAAGGAGGGCCTGAGCTTGTTTCTCTGGTGGGCATAGGGCTGCGGCTGAACGTCACGCACAGGGGGGAGGTGGTAGTGATGGGGCTGTTGGTTGGAATGCCGGCTCAAGTGGGAGGGGTGGAAGTTGGTGATGTTATCACGAGTGTGGATAACTTCCCTGTTTGGCTGCCTGAACATGTGCTGCGACGATGTGCAGGAGAACCAGGAACCCCAGTCACGCTGGTAAGATGAGGAGAGGGAGGAGGAACAGCGGAGAAAAATGTAGCAAGTAGAGGCTTTGTTCGGGTAGTTTATCTAGTTCTGATCTCTTGAGTAGAAAAGAATCGCGAGTAGGGAGAAGGAATTGAAGACTGCGGAAGTTGAAGGAAATCAGTAGAGCTATGAGAAGAAAGTTAGGCAGGGTGAGTGTGAGATGAAACTGCTGACGTCGGCATTGTTACAGGGACTTCTTCGAGGACCATATAGGGGGGAAATCGAGATCACTCTACATCGGCGACTGATAGGAGTAGTGCCAAAAGAGGACGCAGACGTCTCCTCCATCCGTGAACCAGTTGAAGTGGTCGAAGACGTCGGAGAAGATGACCAGGAGATGGAGGCGTTCTCAGGAACGGGCGGTGGAGGGACCATGGCTGTGATGCAGGCTGAGGTCATGACTTCGAGCCTGGCCATGCAGGCAGCTTATGGACTCGACGACTCCGGTTCAGCTCCTCTCCAGCTTAGCAACGGGTTAAGCGCAAGAGACCCGAAGCAGCTGGAAGGCGTTCTTGGTGGAAACCGCTCAGAGGGCACGAGGCCATGAGAGAGGGGAGGGAGACTTGTAGCATAAGGTGGGAATGAAGTGTATCATGTCGAACCACTGGCAGGGTCTGCAGGACCCTCATCTATCTCAGCTGCGCTTGGGTTCTTGCTGTCGCCCTTGACACCCTTGCGTTCCGCTGAAACTCTTCCTCTTGTAATGGCTTTTGTGCATTGGATCGATCGTTCAAGTTTAGTTGGTTGATGTATGAAGCTGATTTTTTTCTTGTGTCTTTTATCTGTAAAAGTGTAGTGATGTTCGTTTCAAAATATTCTTTAGTACTCCCGATTGTTTGCAACGGGCCCGAGAAACTTCTTCCAGCCCGGTTCATGAAGTGAGGCTTGAATGCCGTCTCCTTCTCTTAATCCCTCCTTCGTCTCTCCATCCTTAAAACCTCTCACCATCCCCTCATGCTCAGATTCGGTTCCGACTTTTTTCCCACCTCCCCTGGTATCATCCTCGTCGCGTCCAAGGCTTGTGTCCAGCAAATCTAAGAATTCGGTAAACCAACAGGAAGTTGAAACGAGAATCACCTCTTGTCCCCTCCTCTCCATCGTCAAAATCCGCATCTTCATCTCTGTGAGTACAGATCCAAATGAAGCATGCACTACCTGACGACGAGGACGAGATCGCTTCCTCTGAGTTGACCTTCTTCACCTCTTGGCTCGACCAACCTGCCCTGACAGGTGGAAGAAGATCCTCTCCATCCCTTCCGTTGACTGCGAGAGAGTCAAAGAAAGGACTGCAAGTGGATTGTCTGAACCTTGTTCCTCAAACATGCCCACAAGTGCTCTCCTAGCCTGAGGTCTCTGACTGCCATTGGAGGTCAGCCCAAGCAAGAACAGCTGATGGGGCTCACGGGGGTAAAGCTTGAGGTGCTTCCGAACGAGGCGCGTCTTTTCTGTCAGGCAAGTCATAACAACATCAAACCAAGAAAGCAAAGAAGGCCGTGTTGGGCATTCATGTGTTCAAAGAAAGGAGCCTGATGTTGGTGGTAGTGGCGGTGGTGGTAATGGTAATGATCATGACTATCACAACAACGGCAACGAGGGTGGAGGAGACAAAGGAGGGTATCGACAACACGGACAAAAAGGAGGAGCAGAACATGGTTTTGAAGAAGGAGGAGGGAGAGGAGAAGAAATATTTCACATGCGCTCGATAGGCTTTGTGCTTTGCTTTTGCTTATTAACCTAAAGAACAACTGGTCAGGCAGACGAAACCAAGAAAAGGGACGACACGTTGTGATGATAGGGGTAGTCCACAGCGATCTCAATATCTTCCTCAGGGTATATCCAACAACTTGAAACGAATTGAGTTGTTAGGCGCAAACCATCTATAAACCTCACATAATTTGCCAAACTATGAAATCAACAGCAACGAGAAAAGCAATCAAGATGCCGAAAAATGGACCTGAGATACCATTGAGTACGGAACCGAAAATGATCTCTTTGCGGTAGCCAGAGAGAAGGATACAAGGATGTGAAAGCAAACGCAAAAGCAATGAAGTGCTGAAGGAGCAGATGAGGCCAGGTAATGCAGAGGAAAGGAGACAAAAGCGAAGGGGGGGGGCGTTGGTGACCAGAAACGAAATGAACGAAATACGAAGATCACCTCGGGAATGGCACCTCTTGAGCCTCTCCAGCAATGGCTTCGGCTTGTCTTGCACCACCCGGTCGTAGACTTTACAAGTCCTTTTGGCTACATCATGCCACGAATACATCTTCTTGATGCTGACAAAAGGTTATGAAAGAAATTTCATGCGATCACAACAATCACTTGGCGTGAAACTCGGATGGCACAACCTCCTTCACATCCTATCAAAGCCGTGGGTGAGATTAAATTTTGTGATTGTAGCCCTTCACCTTGCTGATCGCAACCTTGAGTACCTACAAGAAATGTCAAAAATGCATATCTCAAATAACTTTTTTTTCAAGGCATTCTTTCCTCGTGCTACTCCTCCTCCTCCTCCTCCATATCATCATCGTCATCATCTGCATCACGATTATCTGCTGCATTACCTCGATGAGGGAGTTTGCGTCAGGTGAAGCATACTTGATCATGTGTGAGGGCATTACTTCTGGCACTCCTCCCACTCTCGTGCTCACAACCAGCAGCCCGCAGCTGGCAGCTTCAAGGATTGCGATGCAGAATGCTTCAGTCAGCGAGCAGTTGAGGTAAATGTGTCCTCGCACAAGCACATTCCGCACGTCGGTGTGCCGCACGTGTCCCAGCATTTCTACCCGGTCCTGTAGCTGATGGTTCTCCCGCATTTGTTCTAGCGCCACCCTCATCGGCCCGTCGCCACCTGCCGTCACCACTCACCAAAAGAGCAGACACGAGCACCCTTACCGATGACAAAGTTGACATGCTCGAACTGCTGGCAGATGGAAGGAATTATCTCCACCATCAGGTCGACTCCTTTGCGGTAGACCAGCCGTGTTATGCAAACGATGGTAATGCAGTTGCTCTTCCTCGCCGTGGGGTTCGGAGTGAACACTGATGTGTCTACCGCATTTGGGATGACGGAAACGTGCGATGGCTCGATGCTAGCTCGCAGAACTGTGTTTTCCTTGCTTGTGTGCGACACGCAGATAACGTGGTTGATGCAAGATAAAGTGAAGTTGAGGACCTTGTTCATGTGAATAGCTGAAGGGTCAGAGAAGCCGAAGAGAGAATGATCAGTGAAGATCACTTTTAGCCCCATTGTTCCTGCATGCATCAAACTCTCATGGCAGATGATGCTGAACGCCTGGTGTCCATGGACGATGGTCACTCGCTCTCGTATGCAGATGAAGCGAAAGATGGGCCACGAGCTGAACAGTGTCGGCAAGGTCACTCGTCCAGAGGAGAAGACGTCGGGCATGGGCATGAGAGGCAGATAGTAGACCTTTAGCCCGTTGGTGAGCCACCTGACCCCCTGCCTGTTACCTCTGGCTCGTGTCACAACTATCACTTTGTGGCCGAGCTGAAGGAGGCACTGGCTGAGCATGTACATGTGGTTCTCAACTCCTCCCGCGTCAGGGTAGAAGAAGTCTGAGACCATGCAGATGCAGTGCAGCGAAGAAGAAGGCTCCCATCTTCTTGAAGGCGGCCTCTCCTCCTCCTCCTCGCTCGATCCTCCGATGCTTGTCTTAGCATCACGAGGCTGATCTCCTTCAGTTTCATCGTCAAGCTGGTCCAAGTCGAGCTGACTAAAATCAAATCCTTTGTTACTGCTGGCCTTCTGCAGGTATTGCTCACTTCCCCAGCTGTGATTTCTCTGATGGATCCGAAGGTTGCGGCGAGCTACAAGGATTCTACCATCATTGACCTCCGGAGTTTTCCAACGCGGTTCATCCTCCTTCTCCATTTCAACCTATCTTGATGTTCCTTACTCGTCGAGTGGAAATTGTTTTGAGTTACGGGTACACCAACCCAAAGCGAGATACGACAAGGATCTGTTCCAATTTTCTGGGCCAGATCTCGTCGAATGCCTTGCGCAGAAATATCTTGCTAATTGCTGTGAGGGGGACATTGACCTTGAGTCATGCCCAGCAGAGGGTCCATTTGGATTCCCTTCACTTCTGCCTCATCTCCCTTTTGTCTTTATTGCTTGAATCTTCTCCACCATCTTTACCGCAGGCAACCATGGCAACTTCCTGCAAGATGGTTACTACGATCCCCTTTATTGACTGAAAAAGAAGGGCAAACCTACTACAAATGCCTGCCGGTTACATCACGAAACCGCCGCATGCATGCCCTGGCGCACTATGATACTCAGTGCAATAAACTCTGCAAATTTCAAGTTCTATGTTTTGTATTGTTTATGACAATACTATTGAAACCACATAAACGGACCACCGTGACCGGTTCGCAGTCTGAGTGCGCCGGGATCGGACCGTCCCGGAGTCCGTTCAACGGTTCAAACGGTTTAGGGTTCAACGGTTCAAACGCCGGGTTTAGGGAACTTCGGAAACTTGGCGTGACTCTGAGTTTGGCTCGGAACTTCGGAAACTTGGCCTCAGGCCGGGCCGGGCTGTGACTGACGGCGGCCAAGTTTCCGAAGTTCCGAGCCAAACCCCGGCCCGAGTCCGCGGCGTTAGTGACACTGTGACCCGGCCCGTGACTCTTCCACCCGCCGGTGACGGACCGTTCCGGAACACTGGCTCGGAGTCAACTGGCAATCGAGTCTGACGGCCGACCATGCCGTAGTCACCCGGCGGCGTTCGAAACACGGAGGCTCAGACTCAGTCAGACAACTTGACAACTTGGCAAAAAATCTGTCTTGAGCAAAAACTGTGTCTTACGGCGCGCCGCGGACCCGGCCGGGCCGGGCAACTTGAACCCCCCGCAGCGCCCCGCGGGCCGGCCCGGGCCGGCCCCCGTCCGTCATTATCCTATGATCCGAGTGTGCCCTTTTGCTTGCGACTCTTCTTCCTGTAAGTGACTCCGATATCTGATATAGTAACGTGACCCCAGCACTGACAGGCAATTCTGAAGATTGAAATTGCTTTATTATCTTTGAAATTGTCTCGCTTTGAGTTTTTGAAACTTTGAAGTAGATAACACAATTTCTGATTTGACTGGCACGGAGTTTTCGAAGCAATGATCTTGTGACCAACTGTGAGTCTGTATATATATATTAAAAGAACACAAAAACCTTATATAGTATTAAATCTATTTTAAGCAACCTCCGACATGTCAGCAGTTCCCTGGTAATTTACTCCTGCACATTGTCACAATCCTTACATAAGGAGGCTGTGGCTTGCTGTACCTCGCACGTTATAGAAACCGGATTTTGCAAGCAGGCACACATGATTCATTCGACAAATATGAGACCCTCAACGACTTTCAGACGATCATCCTTGCCTGAGTTGGTTTTGAATGAATCAGAGGTGGTATACTCAAGTGATCGCCGTCGACCTTCGCTGGTGCAGCATAAGGATGATACCAATTCGAACCACCATGCAGAATTGGAAAAAAGAGTAGAAGAGGCGTCGAGAAGAAGCAAGTATGGTTGCCCATCAAGACTCAAACAGCTGCTCTGCTTGGCTAAGTCCGTGAGGAACATCAAGTCAAAAAAAAACATTCATGCTTCGGCCACCGTCTCAGAGGCACCAAAAGCATGTTTCTTGGAGGAGATTATGAGCTAGCTTGATTTCTAAAATTCATTTCCCATCTTTCATCATGTTCCTTTTCTTAATAAATATTGATTTCTTGACACAACATTGGACTGAGGAATTTTTTCATTCATTTGTGTATGACTTTTAAGTCAGCAGACTGACAAATTTGATAGCATAACTCTATTGTGCATGACTTGAAGAATTCAAGATAGGAACGATGAGAGGAAGTCAATATTTCTGCTTACATTTCACAGATCACCTTCAAAATTACCCACATTTCCATAGATTCACTACTATGATCGTGTGATTCTCCTGTATCCTGGACTATGATTTGAATCGCGGAACTCAGAGGGAAACAGGCTACTATATATAGATGGCAGTCTAAGTCTTACTGAGTTTTAGGACTTGACGAACGTAATTGCTTGATTCGTTAAGCTGGAATGACTGATTGGACTAACCAAACAAGACCTAGGCACTAAGTGACCGCCTCAAAATTTCTTTCCCTAGGTTGACAATCACCAAGACCATTGCCATCCATCAAAATTGCACTGATAGTCGATCCTCGTAGAGAAACGAATTTGAAATAGTTCCTGGTGACCTTTGGAAAAGCTCATCCCTGCTGCTCGTCTGTCAATTCATTTTCTTCGAGCGCTCCAGTTCCCACGTTCAATATTTTGCCGCTAGAATCACGCACTTTTCTCTCGCTTCGAATAAATTTTACAGATTTTGCCAAGCATATCAGCTGCTTCAGCCTAGATGGGCAGCCGTACCGATTTTTCCTTGAGGCCTCTGCGACTTTTGTCTCCAATGGCTCTGGTTTCGTTGGATTGAAATCTGAGGGAGCTGGAACGGCTGAAGCGCGGCGTATCGAAGAGTGCTTTGATGGAGGTGCGTCAAGCTTTTGATTTTCAGGATCTTCGGACTTGAGGCATGCTACTGATTTCCTTCGCATGCTCTTGAACATTTTCGTCTGCTGTTCACGGGTCTTGCAGATAGCGATGCTGTTGCGGCAAGCAGTTGCCGAGGTATCACGATATCTTTGTTACGGAAAATGAAGAGATGTCTGGAGAGACCTGGATCCAAAGACAAGATCGAAGATAAGATCGAAGACAAGATCGAAGACGAGATCGAAGACGAGATTGAAGCAAGAAAAACGATTGAAACGTGAGCGATCAGTGAAGCAATTCTTGCGCAGGGGCCTCGTTTTTTATATGTATTTTACTGTTCAGAATTGTACCCCTACCCCTTCGTAGCTAGTTATTTGACGGTCAAAGCCAGGGACAACAGGGGGTACTATAATAATGCCAGGCAAACACAACTTTACTCAACGATCTGACTCTCCACCAAGAGGACTCGATCACAATCCCGGCCGGGCCCGTCGGGGCGGCCGCGGGAAGGCCTCCATATTCTGTATGTCTGTGGTACACTGTTTTACTCATCATCATGGCAGAGCAGTACTGCAAGAGGTACCAAAAGATCTTTCTTTGTAGACTTAATATGTTTTATTATCAGTCATTGCTGCTGAAAATTTCTGGTACTTGACAAAATTCAAGGGTGGTGTCCCACTGAGGGTGGGTGCGTGGCTTTTCCATAGAATGAAGCAATGGGGGTGGATGAGACTGGGGGTGGGGTGGCGTGGGGTGGGGTAGGGTGGGATATAGGAGGGGGAAAGCGTGGGGGATCGGGGAGGTTCTACCAAGGATGTGGGGATGGAAAGAAAGCTCGATGTAGAGTAATGGAGTTTGAATGGTACAAGCAAGCAAAGCGTTCGCAAATAGCAGTGATAGAAGCACAAGGGAGGATAGCTTAGCGTAAGCGAAGCTGCGATGAGCGATGGTTGAGAAGTTTAAGACATATTTGAGAAACTGTCTCTACACCTGTTTGATGCGATGCATGTCCGGAGGGGCTGATAATACTTAAGTCGCATCTTGAAATGGAATGTACATCTGTGCGGTACGGAATTTGGGGAGGTGACGCATATTGATGGGGAAGGTGAAGCATATCGAAGTCGCTCTGAAATGTTTGTGTAGATTGCTGTCGTCTAAACGAAGGACCATGAAGGCAAATTTGATGCTCCTTCTGGCGTCTGCCTTATTCCTTCCCGAAGCAATTCAAGCCCTCTGTTTACCGGGTTACATTTCGTCTATCTCTTCTTCGACATCCATTTCGATGAAAACAAATCATATTGGAGGATTGCCAAGAATTCATAGGGAAGCAAGAAAGAAAGGGTGTGTTCAAACCATACGCATGGCCATTCCTCCAGCCTTAGCAGCGCTTGTAGCTGGTTCCTTAGGAGGTGCGGTCGGGGTAGGTGCTGCATTTCCTTTCGATACCCTCAAAACGAAAGCACAAGTGTATTCTTTTGGACAAGGAAAGGAGGATCAGGCAAGGGGAGTGGGCATGAAGCAAATCATCATCCAAGTACTGAAAACAGAAGGCCTTGGTGGATTCTATGGGGGAGTTTCTACCATGATGGTTGGCCAGGCATTCATTAAAGCTGTCGCATTTTCGGCAAATAGTGCTGCGCTGGACGCAGAAAAGATGACTTCTATGTTTGCAAGCCTGTCTCCTTTGGCACAACTCACCTGTGCTGCATTATTTTCAGGTTTTGTGACATCTTTTCTTGTAAATCCGATAGAGAGAATCAAAATCATGTGTCAAGCTGCTGAGAAAGGAACTTACAAATCTGAACTAGAATGTGCTCGCATTATCATTGGATCAGATGGAATCAAAGGCTTTCTGTTTCGAGGACTTGGACCCACAATACTGCGGGAGACTCCATCCTATGGAATTTACTTCGTCATTTATTCACAATTGATGAATCAACAGGTAATTCAAGGTCTTGGCATGTTTGCTCCTCTCCTGGCTGGCGCTCTCAGCGGATGTGCGTGTTGGCTCCCAGTGTATCCCATGGACGTCATCAAGACTACTATCCAAAACACGGATGGTAAGACTCGGGCGCCAACCACAATTGAAACTGCTTACGAGTTGTATACCCGTGGAGGAATTGGGGTCTTTTTGATGGCATTGAAAGCAAGATGCTACGAGCAGCTACAAATCATGCAGTAACTTTTTTGTTTATGATACAGTAATGAATTTTTTGCAAACTTGAACGGGCCTAGGCTTGAAAACTGTCGAAACTTGGCGCCTTGGAAGTCCGGTGAATCAAAACAACTTTCATACGAGTCAGTGAGCCTCGGAGGCTCAGGGCCAATTCAAGGCTATTACACTGGCACACTGACACCCGGCGGCCGGGCGGCACGGAGTCCGTGCCCGCGGCCTGGGCGGTGCCGGGCGGCACGGCAGTGGGCGGGCCGGCGTCCAGCAAACTCTCACAAACTTGTCGCATGACAGCCGTGCCAGTCCGAGATAGCAGCCGAGCCTGTTACTACCGAGTACGGCGCTGAACATTATGCATCCTAGCATACAGTCTATCTCTCATGCTCTCCTCAATTCTGGTCAGTTCGTGGCACAGTGCATTAAACTCGGTTTTGAGCAAAACTTGTGACTGTCTTGTTGGGCGTCAACTAACTTGGTCGATATGATGCCGATCAGTGTCCGTCCGGTCTACGGCATTGCTTTGGCACACTGACAGTACAAGTCTAACAAACTTGCCAGTGCTCCGTCACCGCCTGACCCTCGGAGAGCCTCCTGGCAGCGTCCGGCCCGGCATCCGCCGGCGCCGGTTGCCCGAGTCGGAGCCCAACGCATCCGACCGTACCGGCCGGGGCCGGGCCGGGGGGCCTCAGTACGCCGGGGCCGCCCCCCGGCCCGGGCCGGGCGGCGGCCGCCGGCCCGGCGCCCAAGTCCTTTGCACCCCGCGACAACAGCCTGGCAGGGTGCGACAACCCTGCGACATGTGCGAGATGGTGACATAAGCGAGTTCTGAGCTGCTGACTCGCACAGAGGTGGCTGTAGAGGAGGAGGAGGAATATGGAGAACATCAAAGCAAGAAGAGTCGCGGTGCATTGCGATGCTTCAAGATAATCAAAGGCTGATCATGCACTGAAGGATGCATGAGGGTAACCCGATGATCGAGGGGCTGGATCAGCCATGGGCTGCCCGACACGCGCTCAATTAACTGAATCTTGTAAGTCTTAGTGGTCAAAACACGGCTAGCTTCAACATTTCTCCCTTCTCTTCGCCTTCAGTGGCGGATAATTTGGCACAAACATGCATGGAAACAATCACATGCTGGGTTTGAAGGCATGAACTAACGGGTCATGGCATGCGTATTTCATGGCCGCAGGCTTGCGCTGAATTGTGGGAATGTCATCAACAGCAGGTGCAATCATGTCGTAGTGCAGCTGAATCGCAACAAGTCGAGCAGGTCGAACCGATTTGCTCTCAACTTCTCAACTTCGTGTCTGAGTAAAGGAGAAACAATCCCCTGGCTGCCGGTGAAGCAACTGAGGTCTCGTCGGCCCTGGAGCACCTCCTGGCAGCAGCCGAGGCTCCTGTCCTTTCAGCAGGGCTGCGATGACCACTGCGAGAGCGTCCGCGAGCAGATCAACGAGGTGACAAGCTCGGAGGATCTTTTCGATGTCCTTCAAGCTCTCCGAAGCAAAGGTCTGGCTCTGAGTCTTTCAGATGGTGTGCATGCCTTGCAGAAAATGTCGCGCTTGCAGGTATCTGTAACATCGCCGCCGCTTTTCTCCCCTCATTTTCATGAACATTCCTGCAGGCCCCGGCGCAACTTTCAGAAAAAGAAAAATCGATGTGCGTGGCTTTGGTTAGGGGAATCAATCAGAGAGTGTTGAAAGGGGGAGAAGAGCTTGATATAGACATCATTCCTCTTCTTGCTCATGCACTTGCAAAGCTTCGCCTGCAAGACAGCGATGTTCTGGGGCTGATCCGTTATCTCCGAGATCACTTGATCACTCTCGGCTTCATGTACTTCCGGCATGTGGTAAGTACAGATTCGAAATCATCTCTATGACTGCAAGTATGAAAGACGACAGTTTACCTTACTCTATTCGCAGTCCATTGGAAGTCTCGCATGGTCTTTCGCCTGTTTCAACATTCCAAACAAGAAGTTGTTTGCTCGGTAAATAGAACGCCCCGTACCTCTGCCTTATCGTGACCGCATTTGCTCTCAGACTGGAGAAGGATTTGTTGAAGATGAACCTACAGCTCTTCACTACTCAAGTGCTCATGCTGTTGCTTCTTGCATCTCCCTAACTGCCTTGCAGTCCCTCAGCAACATTCTGTGGGCCTTCGCTACAGTGGGCTTCACCTCCGACGCAGTGCTGTTGAAGTTTCAGGTATGAAATGATGTTCAACACATTTCCACAATGAGAATAGAACCTTGCTCTTGTGTTTTTGCGCCTGTTTGCCTGATCAACCTTAGAAGCACCTGACGATTCACTCCAGGAGCATTTGCTTGCTCCCTGCATACAGCTCCAACAGGCGCGAAAGAAGAACTCCTTTCAGTCTGTCGAATCTGCTCAGCGCATTTTGAGCCCTCGCATTTCAATTTTCAGTGAGCAGGTGAAAAGTCTCTCCGCACAATCAGTTCATCTGTTGACTCGGTCAAGGGTATCGGCAACGTCCTCTGGGCGGTTGCGACTATTGGTGTACGCAGTGAGAATTTTAAGAGCCTGTTTGAAGTCAGCGAAGAGGAGGTCGAAATCCCCTTCTCTTCCTCCTCCTCCTCCTTCCTCCTCCTCCACCCCCTCCCCCCCTCCCCCCCTCCCCCTCTTCCTTCCTCCTCCTTTTCCTCCTCTTCCCCCCTCATCTCCATCTCCATCTCCTCCTCCTCCTCCCCCCCGTCCTTTCCTCCGCTTATTCCTCCATGATCAGATTACAAAACGAGGGCTGCATAAGTTTAACGAACAAGGACTTTCAGTGATTTTATGGTGCAGAGAACACAGATGTTCTGTCAGTTGACCGTTGTACAGGTCCTACACGTCGACAGGCTTCGCAAAGGAGTCATTTGTGAGTTCAATCGAGCAGGTGCAAAGCAGGTCAGAAAGACGAAGGGCAGGCTAAACTCTGAGGCAGGAAATCCTTGACCGAGGGATGGATCAATTCAACAATCACAGCCTTTGCATCCTAACAAGATCTTTCTCGCTGTTTGCGACGTTTCAGCAAACTTCCAACGTGGTCAAGATGGATGACGTGGAGCTGGAAAAATCGGATGGCATGGACAAGTTGCTCCCTTCCAACCCCATTGCATCGATGAACCTTGTACCGCAGGAGTAGAGAGCAAGAGCTGCATGACGTTGGAGAAGCCGAGGATGACCACGGAATTCAAACGGCAGGGAGAAAATTCTTTACCCTCCTCATAGACTGCCTCCGATCGTGCGACTCTGGATCGAAGAAAAGGTGATTCGAATCGTTGTAGTGGACGGGCTCTAAAGAGGATGCAAAGGGTGTGGGACCTCGAAACCTGCAGCAGACTTCTGGTCAATATCCTTAAGGTGAAAGTCGATCTTGTGCATTTTCACTATCGTTTCTCCTCCTCCTCCTCCTCCTCTCGCTCCCTCTTGTCCACTAAGTAGCTCTTTAGCTTCCATCCAAGTCTATCAAAGTAGAGATGGTGCAGCTGATTTCATCGTGCATCCTACAAGCAAAGTCTACGTCAAAGGTGTCGAATAAGGTAATCACGTTCAAGAAACATTGCTCATTCTGACATTCCTGTTCCGTTCCGTCGTCCCCTTTCCCCTCTCTCACGTCAGAGTCTCTGTGCGATCGCTTGGACTATCGTCTACCTTCGGTGATGGCACGCTCAGTCAAGCTGGAACTGCTCACTCTCTTCTACAGCTCGCCTTCTTCCATGACGATCCTTGAGCTCCTAATTGCTGAATTCAGCAGAAGGTCAGCCTAAAGCGCCTTTGGGTTTAGGGTTTAGGGCTTCCTCTTCGTTCTTCTCGTCCTCCTCTTGCATCGCCAGCTTCACTCCCACTTCTCGCTCTCACCCCAACCGCAGAGAATTCAAGAATTTCTCTCCTTCTGAACTCACAAAGGCGATCTGGTAATGCAGGAGGCTCAACCGAGTTGAAAGCCGAGGAGGAGGATAAGAAAGAGAAAGGAGAGAGAAAGAGGCGAGCAAAAGAGGTTCGAGGCTGAAAGGCAGAGCCGAGATGAAACAATAGATGGCAAGTCGAAGAAGGAGCATAAGGGAGGGAGCCACAAAGAACATGAGGGAGGGAGCCACAAAGAACATGAGGGAGGGAGCCACAAAGAACATGAGGGAGGGAGCCACAGAAGGGAGGGAGGGAAGGTTCACGCAAAGACGGCAAGCGGATTAGCGAGGGCCAAGCGCATCGGAGGGGAGGAAACAAATCAGTGAGCAAGAAGAAACTGAAAAATGCTTCAGGGCATTCACAGTGAGCGGCTGCTACAAAGGTGCGAGAGTGATCCAAGACAAGTGCTTTCGTCTCTTTCTTGAAGGTAGGAAACTTCCGGTCCTGTTCGGACACACCTTACGCTTGCCGGGTAGAGGGATGGCTGAAACGCTCCGGCTGGGATCTTTCATCCGTCTCCTCGCTGTCATGGAGTTGTATGAAAGCTGAGAACGTGAGCTCAAGATGCTGGATTAAGCGCTTGTAACTGACGGACATGCAGGAATTCTCTCACATGCATGTTCTCGAAGACTATATCGCTACCTTGTTGAACCTCTTCGACAGTCCATTCGTTTCTCCCTGACTGTTAAAATAGGCAGCTGAGCAAAGGGGATATTGATGACCTGTCAAGCTTGTTATGGATTCACGTGGTCTTGGGGAGGTAACCAAGAAAATGGACAAGAGTGGAGGGAAAGGGGCGGATGGGGATCAAAGAGCACAGAAGAAGAGATAGAAACCGCGAGGGAAGAGGGAGGAGGAATGAGAGAGGATGAAGGGCAGGGAAGGAGGAGGGAAGGAGGAAGGAGCTAATGCTGCATGCCAGAGAGCGGCTTGATTACATCGAGTTGCTGCTAGAGCCCATCTTTGCAAGGTTGGACGAATGTCGAGCAGCCAATCTTACCCAGATAGCACAAGTGAGCGCATGTAGAGGAGCTGCTGGAAACATTGACGCATCTCTTCAGGCTCTAGTCGCAGTTTCGCCATTACGGAAATCAGAGAAACATGATGGACAGCTGAGACAGGTCAGATGATTATGCCGTCCTGGAGAACTTGAAGTGACCCGTGTGAAGGTGCTCAAGAAACTTGGAGCGACCTGGAAGGAAAGAAAGCTGCCCCCTTCCTCTGTCACACACAGGTTTCTCTGCATGCAAGCTTGTGCGCCGGCTTACGGCTCCTCGTGACAGAGGCGTCTCTTCTTGTCTACAAGGAATGCGATTCTCTCACAGCATGGAGTATAGAGTAAGTCTGACTTGCCTTGCCTCCGTGATCACGGTTGTCACTGCTTTGGCGCAGTTCTTGAGCGGGATCTTCCTCATTGACATCGTCCTCTTCAAGAACAAGAAAGCCATTGTGGCGGTTGAGGTAAGGAGGGAGGGAACAGACTAGTTGCTCTCAGCTCAGAGCTTTCTCAAGGTTGATGGGCCCATGCATTTCAACCGAGTGGCCGACGGAGACTCTTTCCGCTATGTGCGATCGATTGGTAGCCGGCGCTTGAGCTCGTGCGATTTCCGTTGTTCTGATCTCACTGGCCTGCTACAGAGTCGAGATGGAAAGAGAAAATTCTTCGACAAGAGGGTCTGATTGTTGTCTCCATTCCTTTCTATGAGTGGGACAGGTTTGAGCTCGCCTTGCTATCAATGCTCGTCGAGTGACATCAGCTTGCAGGCTGCAGCTACAAGGCAACAAAGAGCTGGAGGAGGCATATTTGCTCTCCAAGCTCACAGAGGCGGGTGTGACACTGGAGGAACTTGATCGCTTGCCGCCGATAGCATCCGATGGCACCACAGCTGCTTTAGGCCCACCTGTACGTAATGAAAACTAGCCTGCGCTCAGCTGACCCTCGCTCGGACTGACCTCGGACCCGCATCATGGCTTACTGAGAGAGAGGCTGGTCAACTTACACTGTGACATACCGTACCATCATAGTTTCCTAGTTTCCAAAGCCCCTCGACTCCGGGCCCCGCAAGTTCCGATATCCGATGATCACACTACCAAGGCTGCTGTGGCTGCTGTAAAGTTCACAAGGTCTAATTTTAAGTCAAGTTTTGGGGGACAGCGATGGGGGAGAGGGGATGAGGGGTGGTTGATTGTTCTTTTACTCAAAGTTCTCATTTTTAGCTTAAAACTTTGAGCGCAGCACAACAAGAAGGCCAAATAACTGCCAGTAACGGTGATGAAAACGTATTTTAAACTCGACCGGGCACGGGCTGAAACGAGTAAAACATAGAACCCTTTTGCCCGTCGGTATCGTGCTCCTCAGACCACCCCTATTTTATCATAATGATACAGGGGTAGTGCTCCGACCGCTGCCCCTGTCCCCTCGTGATCCACAGAGACATCTCACGGACCATTTTTTTTTCCATCGCATGTCCTCATGTCCCTACCCCACCCCTTCGTGGACTTTTTAAAAGGGTCGGGCTCGCTCCGTGACCGATGTCCAATCCAAAATGCCCGGCCACAATGGTTGGAAGCAAGATTTGTAAACTATAAATTCAAATTAACCCTAGAAATTTATAACATATGAAAACATATGGCTGAGGGCGGGTAAATGCGTACCTACTGATAACCCCTCTCATCTCCACGATTGAGGGGGTGGGTCTTTTCATTTACTCCCAGTGAAGTAGAAAGCGATGCGATCTGTAGCATGGGATCGCATCGCTTCACGTTTACTCGACTTCCTGACGAAAAAAAATTCTGATAGAGTCAGCCTTTACAACTACTTCTAGCCTTTGAGCAGGACCCTACATGTCTGGGACCATGAATCAGATAACCCCACCCTTATAATTAATAGTGCATATCGTGGGAGACAGCGGGTCACGGGCAGTACCCGGTACTACAGCAACACCATGTCCTTTCCTCTGCTTAGATTTTAAAAAACATGGTCACGACATACAGTACAACCACCCCTACTCACTCAATTTTTTTGACCCATGGCGCACCCACCCCCTGCTTTCCCCGTGTTTCACCGTCCAATACGGTATGTTCCTCCACCAGGTTTTCCCCAAATACCCCTGGCTCGCTACCATCAACCACAATTTTGATCACCCACCCCTCGGAGACGCTAATTGGTTCGATTATACCCATACTCCGAGGTTGTTTAACCCCTACTTCTGAGCCAATGGATGTGATATTACCTGCCGCACCGGTCAATTCGTCACTACCCCACCCACTGGATTCCTGTTGCGCCTGCCCTCTACGTTCGTCCCGTGCCCCCCCCCGTGCCTCCCTGCAGCGCCCACCTCTGGGTTTTGCGAATCTCGTCGATCTGACTCGCACTTTGTTCCTGTCGCTTCATACCCTCCCTTCCATCTCACTACGCTCACTCGGCCACCATCTTGAGCGTGATCTCATTCCCTAACTCGAAAGAACTGAACTAAACCGCGAATGAGCCCAGTCTTCGGTTGAGTTTACAGAAACGATGCAATACAATCTAGGACAAGGCTCTAACCAATCTTCTTCCCATCATCTTCGGATGGGAGTAAACCCAAACCAGCTTCTTAAATACAAAGAAAGCGCATCGAGCAAGAAAGCACAGCGAGGCAGGACGAGAGACCTGCAGAAGAAACTTGATAGTCTGGTTCCAAACTTTGATGAAGTTGAGTTGAAAATTGGTATGTTCAAGGCTGGTCGTACCTGGTTGCAACTTCTCCAAGACGCAAAGCGACATGTTCTAGCGCTCTCAACTACGCCGGAGGGCAGCGATCAAGCTGCATCATCTTCGAGCACAACGATCCCTAAAACGATCAAGTTACCTGAAACGGTTCTCACCCAGAATGACATATACAATGGCCTTCTATCAAGCAAGTCGCATTTTCTTCTGGTGGTTTCGGATCTTGAAGATGGTAAGCTTAGAACAAAATCAGCCAGCGAACCTGTGCACCAAGTGACGCAAGTCAAGAATTGTGATCTTGCGATTGAAAATCAATATTTCCATCATTTTCTCAATTCAACCGACGTCACGGTGTTTTTGAATGGAATTGCTACTCTCAAAGACAGCGACCACGTGGAAATATGCTGCCGAATGCTTGTCGCTAGCGGTATTGGTTTGCGCAGCGCAAAGAAACGACTAAGGATATACCTCGACAGAGCTGCGAATCAAGTTTTTGTGCATGTTGAAGATTTCCTGGCGCAACCAGAATGGCCTGTTAAGATGTGGAATGGAGATCATTTGAGGGAAGTCTCCGGGGTACTCATGTTCGATCCTATCTCGTCGAGTTGCTCCTTGCAGACCAGCTTTCAAATGATGCAGAAGACTTTTGGGGCGGTTTCAGCTGTCTTGACCGCCTCAATCTCAAAAATGATGGAGACTAGCGAGGCCAAGATGGCGCTGGAAAGTGTTCTTACAAGATTCAAATGCGTGAAAGAGTTTCTTCTCCAGCGAATGCTCCAGATTCATGTCTCTCATGAAGCAGATCAAGACAACATCGTTTACTCGGTGGTGCACGTGAAGCTGAAGCTTCCCAAATATTTGGATGTCTTTGAGACAGAGTGGCACGAAGCTTTCAGAATTAAGCTGGATGGAACCCCGTACCCTCATCCTTGCTGCCCGGGCTTGTATGCCTCCTACCTCGTTCATTACGATGCTCCTCCAACAGAGCTGCACATTACCGAAAGATACCTCCAATTCGACGAGGAGAAGAAATCCTTTACTATTGTGCACAATCAGACTGCGATCTTCACCAAGGATCAATGTCACTATGCTGGACTTTTGCTGAATGACCGCAACGAATTGCAAATGACTCATCAGATCTGGCAAAGAGTGGGAGACTATGAAGAGCAACTCATGGATTTGACGCGCTCTTGTAGTTGATTGTCTGTGATTCCAAACATCGGTTTCCGTCTCCAGGCTGCATTGGATAGATCAGCCCTACTATGTGTCCGATCTATTAGCACTCCTGGGTATTTGTGATTGACTTGTAATATACTGAATATTGTACTCCATCAAAAGGCCGGGGCAGAACCATGGGGACTGTCTTGTCTCTTCTCGCCGTTTGGCCTGTGCGACAGTGTCAGGGTCAAGCCTCCTCGACTCTCCGGATGTCCCGGCGTACCGTCCTGAACTACTTCACCAAGGTTATGAATCATTGAATGACGGTCACGGTGCGCCGTCAGTTTGGTTTTTTACGAGATTCAATTGAGGCGGGCCCGACAGCTGTGCTCCTGCTGCGCCCCTCTGTTCCCTATGAAGACCGGAGGGATCCCGGAGCGAACAAGGCGGCGACGATGGTTGAGGATATGAGAACAGGCCGAGGAAGGGGAGATCAGCTCGTTCCCAGCTCATGCAAGCGCAACTGAAGATGGCGATGAGATACTGTCGCGTCCTTGTCCTCCTCCTCCTGTTCCCATGTGCAAATCCTTGGACGATCAGGCCTGGCCTGGCAATCGCAGGAGTAAAACAAGACATCTTTCTTGGAATGACGTTGAATGCAGGGGACTGTCTGCGAGCTTGTAAATTTTACAATCACGAAGAAATTAGGTGTTATGCTTTCACATACTTCAGACCAGGTCACGCCAAATATCCCTTTTCGTGTTTCGGGGCAGAAAGGTATTCGGGCCAAGTCCTCCAAGACAACATGACTGTTTCGGGTATGTTTCCCCAGTCGTCTTCTCACCTCGTCGAGGTTTCATGGCCGATTGAAGGAGATAGCGTCTATTCGCGCGACGATCTCTACATCTCCATCACCGCCCACTTTGACAGCGAGTGGATGATTCGAATCTGCGAGGAGCGGCAGTGTAGTGCCGAGGCTGTGCTAGGCGAAAGGAGCGTAGGAACGTTTTCCATCCATGATATTCGACCAGGAAGACATGAGTTCCTTGTTGAGTGCAGGGCAAAAGGAGCACATGAGGGGTTTGGTGAATGCAGCAAGATATCCTTCTTGTACGTGCCAGACCTGCTGACCAGGATGTCGCAAATAGCAGCAAGCCTGCCCGTGCGAGATGTTGAGACTGGGGCAGCCGAGCCTTTCTTTGCTGCGTGTGGTGCCATGGAAGACGAGAAGACTCCAACGATTCAGCTGTTTGTGCTCGCAAGTTCGACTATGGTTGGAACAACCAAGAAGCACATGACGCATGTCACGGCAATGATGAGAGACGTGCAAGACTTGGAGCTGAACGACAGGCTTGCTCTCCTGATCACCTGGAACATCGGGTATGCCCTCCTCCAACCCGCATCGCACTACTTGATCGAGCAAGACGGCTTCTTCCTTGTACGGAAAGGAATCTTGCATGACAGCTCAGTGCCGCACCAGACGTCTGTCGTCTACATGTTCCTCGTTGAGATCGAAAACCCTCGCATCCCCTCGTTTGTGCGGGTGCTGGCTAGCGCAGGGATGGGCTTCTCCTCCTTCAGAAGGGATGCGAGAGCACTTGGGCTTCCGGTGCAAGAGACGGTGACAAACTGCTTCTACGAGGTTGAGATGCAGGATGTGCAATGCAAGAACCTGGAAGAAGAGATCTTCAACGACAAGAACCAGTTCATTCTCAACGAGGTTGAATGTGAGCGGCACTGTTGCGCCAACTTCAAGTGCTCCATCTGGTTGTATCATGCCTCCTACGGCTGCTGGCAAGGGTCGGAGAAGGAGTATCTGTGCTTGGAGAGCTCAGGTTGGATCGGAAAGCGGAGGAAGCTGATAGTCGATGTTGAACTACTGGAGTTCAAGACTCGCAGAGGTGATGATGCAAGAGCGCCGGAGAGGGAGGATGCAGTAGAGTGGATGAACAACCCAAGCTTGGTTCAGAAGTTGGAGGAGAGGGTTTGCTCTCATGTGCAGGACCTGACTTCCTCCTTGTCTGTTCCCCCCCGCGACCATCATATCAAGTCTAAGATCGTCGTTGTGACTCTCGCCTCTAACAGAGTCGACTTTGTGAAAATGCAGGTGAGAGTGGGGGGCGGGGGGAAGGAGGGAGAGCGAGGGAGAGGGAGAGGGAGGGAGGGAGAGAAGGAGAGAGGCAGTGAGCGATTGAACAAGCAAGCGGGAGGAAAAGGGAGTCAGACCGAGACCGAAACCGAGACCGAGACTGAGACCGAGACCGAGACCGAGCAAGCGAGCAAGCGAGCAAGAGAGAGCGAGAGAGAGGGATGGAGACGGACTCCCGAGGGAGAGAGAGACGGGGAGAGAGTGGGGGGGATTGGAAGATGAAGATGATGACGATGTTGTTCGTGATAGCATGAATCATTGACCTCTTTCCTCTTGGACGATTTCATTTATGTCGTGGTTAACGACGGGCCAACTGCATCCGTCAGAAACAAGATTCACACACTGTGTGAGGGGCTCCGCAGACAGCATCACGTCCTGGAGTTTCGAACAGGAGCCATACATCATGTGCCCTACGATGCAGGTGCGGTAGACCTGACTCTGATCATTCGTTCTCACGTTAGATGTTGATGGACCTTGCACTGCCCTGCATCCTTCCCGCAGCGATACGATGTGCCGAGACTGTGAATTGGATCATGAAAGAGCTTGTGCTTAAGTACTGGAAGAACGAGGTCGTACTTCTCCTCGACAACGACTTCTTCCTCACAGGACATTTCTCCGTCCTCGACTACATCCGAGGGTTTCAATAGACTTGCTTCGCCGCTTTCTCTCAACCCCTCCAGGTATGACATGGCCGGCATCCTTCAAGATAAACCGCACGCTTGTTCTCCATCAACTCCTCCTTTCCATGTTGGATATCACAAGCCTGAGGGTCCACCGTGTACTGCAAGGTTCGAATGCAGCTTTTCTCCCCCTCCTCCTCCATCTGCTCCTCCATATCCATCTCCTCCTCCATATCCATCTCCATCTCCTCCTCCTCCTCCTCCTCCATCTTCTCCTCCTCCATCTTCTCCTCATCCTTCTCCATCTCCATCTTCTCCTCATCCTGCTCCTTCTCCATCTCCTCCTACCATAGACATCTGAGACAAGACAAGACAGGTACATTTGGAATGCGATGGTGATGATGGACATGTCGAGGATGCCGCAAGCACACCTCATGGACTGGATGCCTGGGATGGTGAATGGAACGATGGGAGACGTCGGCATCAGCCTCCTCAACTACTTCCAAAGGTCTCATGTTCGAGCCTTGCTTTCCTCCCAACTATAGATGCTGACGACACCATGACATCAAACTACATGTTGATGCTGATCCTAACAACACCATGACATCAAACTACATGTTGATGCTGATCCAAACAACACCATGACATCAAACTACAGCTCCCGCTCCACTCATCTCGTGCTCCTTCCTCCCGTTCTCTCTCTCAGACTGAAACTTAACGCTTTAGATTCCCTCAGCTGAGGATAAGAAGCATCCTGGGGGTCAACTTTCCTTGTGTCATGCCAGGATCGAAGAGCAGCTGGGGGCTAGGTGGAGGTCAGCACGACTTTTTCGACGATGACGAGGACGAGGGCGAAGCAGACCAGACCGATGCTTCTGTGCAACAGCATCGCCTGCACGAGTTCCTTCCAGCTGAGTTGAGGGCTGAGTGCGAACGACTGGCGTCCATCGGAATCGGCAGGAAGATAGTTTTTCAGGTTCAGATGTCGGAAGAGCCTTGTAATGTGGAGATGATAATGGTGGTGCTCAGGTGTGGGAGCGAGTTTGGTTTCACTTTGAGTCTTCAAGTAACTGGTGAAGATTCCGTGCCTCTGCTTCACCTTGACGTCTACGAATGTGTTCCCTTCTTCCTCTACCTCCCCGTACTCTATCGCCCCTTGCTCTACCTCCCCTTCCTCTGCCTCCCCTTCCTCTACCTCCCCTTCCTCTGCCTCCCCTTCCTCTACCTCCCCGTACTCTATCGCCCCTTGCTCTACCTCCCCTTCCTCTGCCTCCCCTTGCTCTACCTCCCCTTCCTCTGCCTCCCCTTCCTCTACCTCCCCTTCCTCTGCCTCCCCGTACTCTATCGCCCCTTGCTCTACCTCCCCTTCCTCTACCTCCCCTTCCTCTGCCTCCCCGTACTCTATCGCCCCTTCCTCTACCTCCCCTTCCTCTGCCTCCCTTTCCGCTACCTCCTCGTCCTCTATCGTCCCTTCCTCTACCTCCCCGTACTCTACCTCCCCGTACTCTATCGCCCCTTGCTCTACCTCCCCGTACTCTACCTGCCCTTTCCCTACCTCCTCGTCCTCTATCGTCCCTTCCTCTACCCCCCCTTCCTCTACCTGCCCTTCCTCTACCTGCCCTCGCTCTACCTGCCCTTTCTCTACCTCCTCGTCCTCTATCGTCCCTTGCTCTACCTCCCCGTACTCTACCTGCCCTTCCTCTACCTGCCCTTTCTCTACCTCCTCGTCCTCTATCGTCCCTTCCTCTACCTCTCCTTCATCTCCTTTGTTTTATTCCCTCCTCCCGCTTTCTCCATGCTTTTCCTTCTTTCATCCCACGGAGGATGCTTTGTTTCTTCTGTCTCAAACCACGATGCTCTTGCTATCAGGTGGGTCGGACCCAAGTTCTACCTGTCTGAGACAAACTTTTCACCCGAGAAGCTCAAACTCTTCACCTCTTGGATGAGCTGCCGCATGAGCAATCAGGTCTCCAACGAGTCTGTGAGGGAGGAAAGATGGGTATGACACTCGGTCTTGTTACAGTCTTCCGAGTTTGTACCGACAGACGTTCTTCCTGCGGGAACTTGTCCCCTCCCTCCCCAAGAGATCAAGTAACTTGTCCTTGCCTGCACCTTTAGATGATTGAGCAGCTTTGACAGGCCCTTCCTATTATCCTCACCCAGTCCTCTCTGATACTACAAATGATCTCAGCCAGGCTACCTTTGTGGGCTGTGCCGGCGACGGTGTCAGGGCTTTTTTGAAATGGCGTGTAAATAAGGGGAAATGCGCCTACTCACCACTTTCATTTTGGTGGTGACGGCGAGAGCGAGGGAACAGCGACAAGGGAAGCGTGAAGATCCGCTCTCACTTCCCGAGTCCATCATCACTGTGAGGCAGCATGGCACGGCAAAAGCGGACTGCCGTCCTCCGTCATCAATGATCCTCTACTGATCGGACTCAGCACGCCGGGCTCGTCGTCCCGGGCCCGGCACTATCCCCACACATGTCTGGGGGACAGCAGTGGGCCGAATCATTAGTAAGGGCCGTTGGTTCTCGCTGTCTTTTCTCTTCTCGCCGTGTGGCCTGGCCAGTGCGAAAGCAGCCGTCAGGGTCAAACCTGGAAAGACTCAGCCTCGCGGCGAACCGTGGCAGGCCGGAGGCTCAGCGGCTTCCGAGGAACTTTCCAAGTTCACTGCAGTGCCTCCGCCGGGTAGCCGGGTCACCGCCGGCGGCACTGATGAGCCTCACGGCTGACGCCGGGGCCCGGCGGGTACGGTCGCGGGGGCGGGGTCACCGTGCGGCCCTAGCGAAGTCGTCCGGTGACTCAGGCGTACACTACTGGCCCCGCGTGGGCCCAGCCCGGCCCGCCGCGGGCGGCGGGCCTGATGCCATGATGCGGCCCGCGGCCGCGCACCGTCCGTCGGCCGGGCGAGTCCAGGTGCCCCCAGCAGTAGAGTGCCGCCAGATGTAGGGCTGTCAAGCCTGGAAGGTCTTGAAGAGTCCCGAGTCCATCGTCTAAAGAGCAGGAAGAGACTCTTGAAGTGCAATTATGACATTGCCGAGCAGTGATCCGGGACTTGAATCATTGCTGCAACGGAAAATGTAACGGTTTGATGACAAGCATCCGATGACACCACCTACCGTGGTGAATCCACAGGAAGTACCCTACCACCAGGTAGTGAAGGGGTTGCAAGCCTTCGAATTTATGTCAGCAAGTCTAGTGATCAATTGAGTTGAAAGAAAGCCTCGTAAACAAACTTTTTTAACAGGATATTTCTTGAAAAAATTCAAAATATAGAGGATGATTTCAAATTTGGAATCGTGCAAAAAAGTATTTTGTATAAAACAACTAATAATATACAGATTCGAAATATATTTTAGACAGGCCATCTTGTATCTGTAACTTTGGAAAATGTACCATTCTAAAACCTAATTGACTGTATGATCTGAAAGTACGTCGTTTCGGAATTCATTGTGTAAGCCAGTGTGTAAGCACTTTTATCCATACGGTTTGACTGTCGCGGCGTTCCCCTCCATGCTACTGAAGAGGTTCTGAGCAACAGTAGCAGCGTAGAGCAAACTATCAAGACAGGGTAGCCCAGTGAGGGGTAGGAAAGGAGGAGAAGAAAGGGGGTCTACCCAACGTGTTCATTCGAAGCCTGTACAGCGGACAGTAAGTGTCTGTTGCTTCAGGACCAAGAGAGGACGAGAAAGTACACCTGAGGCCAGTGAAGCGTATGCTTGGTGAAGCGTGTGCTTGAGTCACCTTACAAGAACAATCCTAATTCTTATCGGAAAACTTGCATGATAGCGTGCAGAACAGTGCAACAATGAGTGGAACAGGAATGTCAGCTGCGCGTGCACGCATTGCAGATGTTTACTTTTTCGAAGAGCTTCGCAATTGCTGTGGCAGTCAGAAGGCTGCAAGATGGCTGATGAGCCAGGGAAGAACGAGACCGAGGTTAAGTCTGGAAGAAACAAAGTTGACACAGACAATGGAAAGGGCATCATCTGCTGCATCTGATCATACCGTGTCAAGTGACTCCTTCAAAAGCAAACGAGCGACCCCCAAGGCTATTGACGGGATCAAACTAGAGCTCCTTTCTCTCCATGACTGCCCTTCTGATGAGTTGAAGAAGTCAAAGTCACATCAGAACTTGAATTCAAGGGGGCATTGTGAATGCTCAGGATCGGGCATGAAGCACTCGCGATCGTCGGGAGATATGTTTGGTTCCCACCCCGCTCACGTAGAGGACGAGATTTCGAAACTGCACAACTTTGATCCCAACAAGGCTTGTCTGCTCTATACTTCGGAAGCCAGTGTTGTGCTGGATGATGCAGATAATTTTGTTCAAATCCAATCAACAAATTGAATGTTGCTTCTTTTTCTCATCTCAAGTTCATACGTAAACTTAATTCCAAACGCTGTCCTAAAGTTAAAATCAGTGGTTTGATTTGTAGATATTTTTCAATAAATTGTTTAAGCAATAATATTTGTGATTTCCATCCCTATTTGGCCCTTGCTTCTTGTTGACAGCCTCAAGTTCAGGTCACGGTATCACACAAATTTCGGAAGATCGACTCAACTCCATCCTGAGATGAAATCTGACAGGGTGATTCGAAGAGAGCAAGTATTTCTTCTCTTTTCAGCATCTCAACCGTGTTCTCGATCGCTGAGTCCTTGGAGATTACAAGCACTACCACCTTGGAGTCCTTCCACTGATAGAGGCGCTTCCCGGCGAAAAAAGACATCTCATGATCAGCAGCTTCTCGCATTCCTGAAGCGAAATGAAAAGTGAAATTTTCGGGTTTGAGCCCAGAGAAATGTCTATTGCAGAACACGTCGATGGAGATTCTGCCACCCAGCTTCCTAGGCTTGCTCTTGATCCAGTTGCTGATGTGCGGAAGGATATTCGCACTGTTGTCTGCGTCTACCAGCACCTGCAGCATCCAACCTTGATTGATAAAGTCTGTCTCTCTCACATTTTCTCGCACGGGTTGGTTTTGAGGTCGACAGCTGGTGATAGGACAAGTCTGAGTTTGAGATTTCGCCGATTCTTCAACTAGACGGCTGTTGACCAAGGGACTTCGCACGATGCCGCTGCCAGCTTCAAACAGGCCCTCTACTGCCTGCTTGCTCGCTTCTTTCTCTGCCAACTTCTTCGTAGGCTGCTGAGACCCATAAAAGGTTTGTTGCCCTATGGTCACAGTGCAGGAAAACTGAGGCTCATGGTCAGGCCCTGCACGAGTCGTTTTGAATACGGGCATCTCAAGAGAGTTCCGGGTGCAGAGATTGATGAGATTTCCCTTAGGATCTATAACTTGTGACAAGTTGCTCGTGATTTCTTCGTGCGGTTCGTCCAAGCGTTCCATTTCACTCGCTTGCTCGTCGGCTTTCATAATATTTCCTTGCTCCACACCGGATGCGATAGAAGAGTTCAGGCCTTCTCTCAAGGAGCTTACCGTCGACTCAAGCTCTGAAATCTTTCTCTTCAAAGGAAGCATCTCGTGTGAAACAAGCTCCTGCACCAGGAACTTCAACTTCTTTGGATCCATTGTGATCGATATCAAACAGTGATGTAACGAGAGAGAGCAGGAGGGAGCAGAGGAGGACAGGGGGAAGAGGAGGTTCGAGAGGCTACTGGTTGATGGTCTGATGGTTCTTCAGGCCTCCTCTATCTTCCCTCCGCTCTTGTCTCGCCGCCAGTCGCCATGGTTAGGGGGCAGCCGCTGCTGAGAAACCTACCCCAATGTCACTCTCACGTCACTCAGTCACTCAGTAGTATCTCAGTCTCCCTCGGCCTGGGCCCCGATGAGTCCGCCGGGGCACCGGGGAGAGCTCGCGCAAATTCTTGTCGGGCATGCAGGGGGCGCATGGGCTGAAGCAGCTGATGGCGATAGTCGTGACCGTCATGGTGTGTGGAGCAGGAGACAAGAGCGTCGGCCTGATGCTAGAGACGTCGATGAGGATCAAGGGTGGGAGCCTCCTGGTTGACACGTGGAGGAGAAGCATCGAGAGTACGCGTGTGATAGCTCCTCGGCCTCGCGTCGGGGACCAATCATGGGCTCCTTGCAAGGCTTCGATCCCGATGCTCCTCCGCATCGCTGGCGGTCACGAGGAGGAGTCGAGCATAGCAACACCTGATGAGAGCCTTGATGCTCCCAGCACAAGCTCGGGGGGGGCGGATGAGGATGAGGCTCCGTTGTTGTCGCGCTCGAGTGAAGGCGAGTCCACGGGGCTGGGGATTCACAGTCACAACTTCACGAGGCTGCATGAGATCGGAATACCTGTCTTTGACAACCCTGACTTCAAGACCGTCGCCCAAGAAGCGAAGATCATGAAGCAGGCGAGCATGGCAGTGGAGGAAGTGAAGGGATTTCGGTGAAGATTGTTGGGATCGAGAGTGGAGTTTGACGTGTGCATGTTCAGGAGAGTTGAGAGAGCCAAGGAGATTCAGCTACAGGCTCAGTCGAAGGCTCTGCATGAGGAAGGGAAGCGGAACGACTGGTGGCTACAGGGAGACCTCGAGGAGATTAAAGGAAAGCCCTGTGAATCTTGCGGAAAGATTTTGTGCTACTGTGAGCATTTCAGGCACAAGCAAAATGTTAACGTCTGCTGTGTGTTGTGAATCTTATGATGCAGAGAGGAGGAAGAGATGCAGCGGAAGGGCCTTGAGGATCCGTTCGAGCAAGTGAAGGATCGTGCGAGGCGAAGACACTTCGACGACGTCCTGTCTTCCAGCAGCACTCCCTCTGCCGAGATCGAGTTCTGGAAAAAGGTGTGAGGACAAGACGAGAGGAGAAGACGAGAGAAGGAGGGAAATGGAGGGATGAGAGAGGGAGAGAGAGAAGGAGGATGAAGGCATTTTTGCGTCTTGACTTTCTTCGCCTGGTTTGCTCATATGGTGTTGGTGGTAGGTGGACAAGCCTGAAGTGGACGAGAGGTTCTTCGAGCCGGACACGGGCATCAAACGCGTTCATCTGCCTGCCAGTCTGTCGAACCTGCGAGACATCGGGATGCCATGGTCGGCTCTTAGCGTCCATGGCTTCTCGCGCTGACGTATTGACAGCAAACCTCCGCCTAAGTCAAAGGAGACGATGATGTAGGAGGGAAGAACTCTTGGTAGCCGAGTTGACGGCTGCCTGCAGGAAGGAGAAGGCGAAGAAGGATGCTGAGAAGATGAAGAAGGTGTTCGAGTTTTGTGACATCTCAGACGTCTCATGCTGACTGATGCCCAGCGAGAAATTGCACGAGAGAATTTCATGAGAACTTTGGAGGAAGCTAAGGAAGTTGCGTTAGGGAAAACGGCTCAAGAGGAAAAGGCTCCAAAGACTCCTCCAGCTGACTTGCCGTCGAGCCGCGAAGACTTTCTCAGTGATGTGGATCTAGTGGAGAAGGAGTTGGAGTGGAGAGAGCCCGATCAAGCTCAGGGCCGAGTGGAGAGTGTCAAGCTAAAGGAAGAGGAAAAACTACCATCCAGCAAACCCAAGGTAACAGCTCATTCTGATTGCAATCCTCCTCATCTCCTCCCTTGCAGAAGAATGGGGAAAAAAAAACCAACAAGAAAATCTCGTCTGGTCAAGCAAAAGAAAGTTCCCAGGAAGGACGATCAGGTCTGACATGTTAGCTGTCACAGCGTTTGACGCTCTTGACCTCCTCGTTCCCTCAGCTGCCGTCAAGCTGGGGAACGAGCGACTGAATGCTCTCCCGTTCGATCTCGCGCTGGAAGGCAGGAAGGCGAGCACAGCCTCGTCGTTGCCGCTAAAGTCTGACGGCCCCTCAGGACGACGAGGAGATGCGGAGAATTAGGAAGGAAGAGATCCGCAAGGAGAGGGTGAAGCAAGAGGGTAAACGTCGCGTGCTCTCATGCTGCTGCCTCCTCAGGAACGAGCTCAAGCGCGAGAAAGTCGCCCCAAGTTCGTCAGGGTCTACACAGGAAAAGGTTCCTGCTCTTGACACCGTTCCGTGACATGTGACGCCTGGTGTAGACGACAAGATCGGCACGAAAGTTCCAGTGTTTGACGAGTACGCTCTGGTGTGTGAAGTGCAGGTTGTGCTGGTTACATGCGTGAGAGATGTTGTTTTACAGCTGCAAGAGAAGAAGAAGAAGAAGGCCACGATGGATGATTTCAAAGAGTATGACCAATATCAGTGAAAACACAATCAAAGCCCCTCATCCGCTTCTTGTTTGCAATGTCATGCTAGTCAGATCTCGTCTCGTCAAATCGTCGACTTCAGCATCGCCTCCGCCGCTTGCCCGGCTTCAAACACTCTGCGACACTCTCAGTCTACTGCAAGGGCAGGTAGGACAAGATTCCTCTGCAGCGGCTGGTAGGAGCGGAAGATGTCGGTGGCGACGTAGTCCTGCATGTTGAGAATGGGGAAAGGATCCTGCGAGAAGCCGATAAGGAGGGGGAAGTAGAAGCAGCAGGAGGGGAGACAAACACTGAGGGGCTGGCGAACGAAGGGGAAGACGCAGCACAAGCTGCTAGTGGAGGAGAGAGGGGGAGAGGGGCAGAGAGGGAGAGGGGGAGGACAAGCTGCTAGTGGAGGAGAGGGGGGGAGAGGGGGAGAGGGGGAAGAGACAGACCTGATCCTCCTCCTTGGACACGGAGTCTGTCTCTGACCAGAAAATCAAGTCGGACTTACCGCGCAGCTGCAAAATATTCATCGGCCTTTGGTCCTCCTCCACCACTGTCGCCGCCGCCGCCGCCGCCAATTTCTGCTCCCTCATTTTCCTCCCTCCCGTCCCCTCCCCATGCTCCCACTCGTTCTCGCCCTCTCGTCCCCGACCACTCACCAGCCCCTTCAACGGGGGTCGCCATGATCGCGGACGAGCAACAGGAGGGCCGATGGTGTTTCTCTCCCACCTATGGGAAGGGGGTGAGGAGCGAGAGGAAGGGAGGAGCGGAAGGTCACGTGAGATGCCCGAGACTTGCTCGCACTGTCGACAGATTCATGCTCCTCCATGCCGTTCCGTTTATGCTGCACTGAGATGATGATTGATGATGATGGCGGTGGTGGTGATGATGATGATCAGGAGGAGCAGGAGCAGGAGGAGCAGGAGCAGGAGGAGCAGGAGCAGGAGCAGGAGCAGAGAGGTGTGTTAGTAAGAGAGACATCGTATCCGAGTCTCCTTACATCTTCGACCTCCATCGAGGCTTTTGAAGACTCCGCCATGAGATAGAACGACGCGGTGTTGCTGAAGAAAACTGTCAAAAGGCACAAGAGCTGGTGCGACCTACCATCCCAAGAACTTGCAGTCTCTCACTTTCGCATCCGCGCTCTTGCAAAGACCGACGCTCACTCCGTTGTACTGGAAGGTGCAGTTGATGATGCGGGCATGAGCGCTGGCCGAAACTCAGACTGTGAAAGGGGAACAAGAGGGCAAGAGGAGCAGGAGCAGGGACAGGAGCTGCAGCGGCAGGAACAGGAGCAAGGTTAGGATTGTCTCAGCTTACGCGTCCCATAGGCGAACACCCTGGCCGTCGTCGTAGACCTTGGTGAAAGGAGCGTGAGCAACTTGACACGAGCAACTAGAGCGAATGGAATGCAGGGAAAAGCAGACCAGACCCGACCAGCGAGGACAGGATAGAACAAACGATCACAGGACAGGACAGGACAGGACAGGACAGGACAGGACAGGACAGGACGAAAGGGGGCAGGAGACAAGAAGGCAGGAGGGGATAGGGGTAGCAAACCCATTCGATCAAGCTCTGTGCCAGGAGGAGCTCCGAGGTCTCGTAGGCTAAAATCCCATTGTCTGCCTGCAAGTCCCAGGTGCAAATCCCTCCTACTCCGCACGAGAGAATTTTCATCCTGGCACGTCGAGGGGTCAAGATCGGCTCCTCCCCCTCCCCCAGCCTTGCCTGCTCTGGTGGAAAAGTCCGACGGCAGTGCCCCCCTGAGCGCTCGTTAACCCTCGTCAACCCTCCTCCTCGCACAGTCATCCTCCCTCCTACCTTACACGTCCTCAGCTGACACCTATGAAACACCCAGGCGCCTCCCCTTGCCTCCACCTGCTCCTTCCGTGAGCAGTCGAGGGACAAGACAGTCGACCCACCATGATGGCGTTCTCCCGGAAGGTAGCAAGGCAGAGCATCACGTTGTCCCACAGCCCCTAGGAGGACTCGCTCACACGACCCGCTACTCTCTTCCTCGAACAACTCCGGGCGAACCGGAAGCAGCAAGCTGCTCCTTACCTCTTCCGTGTACGGCGTCCATATGCCCCCCATCCCGACTTTGCCCAGCCCTGTCAGTAGCCACTGCCCGAACAATCTGGAGGAGGAGAGCTATAACGACAGAAGAGGCCATCATGCTTCAAGTACCTCACGCCGCAAGCAGGAGACGTGCTGCCGTCGAAGACGCTGCTGTTTATCGGCTCTTGCCTGAGCTCTCCAAAAAAACCCATGGCGTACGGAACCTGGAGTATAAGCTCGCATATATGGATAACAGAGGAACGAGTACGAGGAGAAAGAAATGGAAGAGAAAACGCAGGAGCAGGAGCAGGAGCAGGAGCAGGAGCAGGAGCAGGAGCAGGAGCAGGAGCAGGAGCAGGAGCAGGAGCAGGAGCAGGAGCAGGAGCAGGAGCAGGAGCAGGAGCAGGTGCGCGGGAGCAGGTGCAGGTGCGTTGCAGGTGCTGCAGGAGAAATGACGAAAGAAGGAGCACCAGGATCGGATCTCCTTCAAGTTCCTTGTCCACGTATCGCACCCCTTTGAAATCCTTTTCAAGGCCTGTCAGAATTGCAGCAAGCTTACAATGAAGCACACCGGATATGAACCTCCGTGGACAATGGAACCTCCCTGAACATTGCAAGTCATTAGCTTCACATAAACTTCATCGTCATCGTCATCATCGTCATCATCGTCATCATCGTCATCATCGTCATTGTCACCAGCTGCCACTTGTACAGTCCTTCTCTCAACATGATCTTGGTACCAACGTCTGCTGTCATCACAGCTTCGGCCAGCCCACAGGCTCCAAATCGACGTTAAAGACCAGCGCAAGCTCGTGAACAAGAGTCACCTTGGTGGAAGCTGGAGATGTTCACATTGAGTCGCTTGTTGAGGGGATAGGTGTCATCAGGCACGATGATGAACTCGTGGTCCGCCATGAACCTTCCGTCCCATCCTGAGAAGTGTCAGCCCACTACCATCCCCTTCCTCCTCCTCCTCACCGAATCTTGTCGGCGCCTCCTCCTCAGTTGTCCTCTCCTTGTCGTACTCATGCAGCATGTCTTTGATCATGGTGCTGCTCATCTCTGACCGACTGACCCCCTGTCTCGTCCTCTCCTGCTGCCCGAGCTCGCGCACCTCCGCAGCATCGACTCTGAGCGTCTCGTCGGAGCTTTGGATATGAACGATCTGGTTCATCGAGTCCGACTCGCCTCTCGTGTCCCACTGCTGCGAGGAGGAGCTGTCGTCGCCTCCTCCCCGCAAGCGGCTGATGAATCTGGACGAGGAGAGAGCGAGCGAGGCTCCATGGAGGCGAGCAACGGACTGTCGGGGAGAGCAAGGATGGTGCGAGAAGGAAGAGAAGGGCAACGCATGAGGAGAGAGTGGGGGTAACGTGGGAGACGAGGAGGAGAGAGGGGAGGGAGAGGAGGGAGGAAGAGATGAGGAGGGGAGGGAGGGGAGGAGACAGGAGAGGAGCAGGAGTCCGAACTGAATGTCACCATGCGTCCCTAGCACCCGTCGCATTACTAGCTGCATGGCCCGGCCTGGCCCGGCAATGATAAAAATCTTACAGGCCCGCCTCAACAGCCCGACCGTTGACCATGGCGTGAGAGGTTGAACATGCTTGTCGACACAATACAGGATGGCTTCTCCTCCTCCTCCTCCTCCTCCTCCTCCTCCTCCTCCTCCTCCTGTCTCCTCCTTCCCCTCCCTCCTGCTCGACTGCCCTCTACCGCCTTGATCTCCTTCATCTGACACCTCCACCCCTTTTTTCCCTCCTCCCATTGGACCACAACTGGAACTGCCCAAACCCTCTCTCAGACGCTCTCTTCTACCTGTCTCTCCTGCGGGTTCTCCGTCCTCTTTTCCTTGCGCATCTTGTCCCTCATCTCACTTTCTGGTCCTTCTCTCCTTCCCTCCTTCTCTCCTTCTCTCCTTCTCTCCTCCATTCTCGTTCAACTCCATGGCTTCCTTCCGCCCTGGGGTAGGAGATCCGCTCTCCTCAGAGAATCCCTTCAGCGATGGTCGACCCAACTGGCGTCTCCAAACTAAGACGAGGACGTGTAAGCCTCCAGACATGCTCGGGACTGGCTTGCAGGCACGCTATTCCTTTCTTACCCTCCACATTACCCAACGCCTAAACCATTGCTCTCATTTCCCTGCTCCTCCTCCTCCTCCTCCTTCTCCTCCTCCTCCTCCTCCTTCTCATCCTCATTCTCCCATTTCCTAAACACCTACCCTTCACCGTCTCCAGCTGTATCCTGCTCCTCATCGTCTCTCTTTGCAGGTCGACCAACCGAAGGTCTCCCCATACACGACTGAGTTCTCAGATCTGTACAAGGTGGGGCGCGAGGTCGAAAGGGCAGAGGCTGATGCTGGACCGACAGAACCATCAGGCGTCGACTCAGCTTGTCGTTAAGAAGCAGATGCGGCACTTTGACCACCACCTGGTGCAGACAACGGTCCTGACAAGCTCCGTTGACCAGCCTTGTCAAACTGACTTCTCGCGTATAGAAAGAGATCCCCGTCGGCGGCCTTCAAGTCCCCGAGCATTTGATAAGTGGAGAGGACAGGTCCAACCCCTCCACCCTCTTTGTCTCCTTACCTTCTCTCAACAGGATCCGCCCGCCGGGAGGAAGAAAAGTCCTCGCTCCGAATGTTGTACGTGCGCACCGAGTTCCTCATCATCATCTTCTCCTCCTGCTTCTCCTGCTTCTTCTCCATCATCATCATCATCATCATCATCATCATCATCATCATCTTTGACATGTCATCTCCCATAGAAATTCAACCCAAACGATGGGGGAGTTTGGGAGCCGAGGCGACGCGAATATCCAGAGGTAGGAAGAAAGCGAGCGAGCATAGGACGAGCGTTCTCTGCGCTCCTCGCGGCATGCTCTAGTCTGACGTACATTGCAGCTATCAAAACGATCGTCGAACTCTGGTGTGAAGATCGTCGGGAAGCCAGAAAAGTTGAGCACAGGGGTATCAGATCAAGTCTTACGGGTTCGGCTGTCAGGATCGATCGCCACGTTGACATCTGGCCTGCTGACCTCACGGTCCGCGACCAGTTCAAGCCTGGTGACAAGGCTGATGTACATCCGTTGCTGTGCTGATGCCTTGCCATGCAGGAGGGTTGAAGATCTTCCAAAACAAGCGGTCGACCAACACAGAAGCGTTTCCAGGAGCCATCGGTATTCTCCTCATAACCTTCACCACCTCTCATCTCCCTCCCCCTGCCCTCCCCCTCCTGCTTCTCGTGCTTGCGCTGCTCCTCTTACCCTCCCTTGCGAATTTCACAGGCTACAAACCCCCGCTGCTGTACGACGAGGAGGGGCAGATGGTGGACTACTCGAGCGTAAAGGTTTACAGCTCCTGCTATGCCACGTGGTTGAAGCTCCGTGCAGATGGGAGGGGTCTTCGGGAGGAAGCGACTACATGGAAATGAACCTCTCAAGCTCGACGAAGTGTCGTTCTCTTCCTCCTTCTCGTCCTCCCCCCCCCGCCTCTGCATCCTCCTCCTCCTCCTCCATTGCACCTTTGTTGATTGCCATGCCTCTCCTCAATCCATATCTCTCCTCTATCTGTCTCCTTCCTCAACCTTCCTGCTACATCTCGCGTCCTCTGCTCATCGTTTGGACGTACAGGAGAGGTCGGCGACTTTCTTTCCCGACAGGACAGGCAAGCTCAGAGCAGGTTGAGTGAGAGGAACTGACGTAGGCGTGCAGTTCTTACGAGGTCCAAGAAGGCTGAAACTTCACTTGCCAACACGTGCAGCAATTTGATATCAAGAGTTGAAGACCTGAAGTTTGAAAGCAGATTGGCGACGGAAAAAGTTTTTCCTTTCCGTCCTGACCTGCCGCATGGTGAACATCTCTTTCTGGGTCCAGCAAGTGACTTCACCTGTCAACAGCAAGACGGGAAGTCAGTCACATGAAAGTTGAGAAACAAAAAGACAGAGGAGCCGTTCAGGCGCCCGAGAGCCAACCGGTAGTACGAGAGAGGTACGTGAAGGAGCAGGGGCAAGCGGAGGAAAATGCTGATGCTCCTGGCAGGACTATTGTCGTGCCTCCTCCTCCTCAGACGTACAGCCAGCAGCTCACAGGGTTGCAAACTCAAATCAAGAAATTCTCTCCGAGGGAGAAGCTGGTCTGACTTGGCACTTGTCAACACCGTTGGCTGACTTGTCTTGTAGAAATACGAATTCCCTCTCGCCCCCACCACCTCCTGGACGTTCGTGGGAGGGTATCGACCTTGAAGTCACCATTGAATTTGAAGCATCAAAAATTTTATTTTCTGTCTTCATCCCTCCCTCTTCAACTATGAGTCCTTCTCCTTCCCTTCCTCTTCTTCCCCCTCACCTACTTCTCCATCCCCCCCCCCCCTCCCTCCCTCCTCCCTCCGAATCGCATCATCTTGTGAGTTTGCAACTTTTAGCCTGCACACAGTCAGCAGGATCAACTTCGACTGCCGGGGGCACCTGCTGCGCGAGCTTCTTCTTGACGTGCTCGTACCTTGACCAGACCGTCAGCACCAGAGGAAGAGACCTCTTGCCTCTTCTCACAAGGCCATGTCCGCCCAGCAGTAACGCATCATCTCCTGCTTCAGATGCTTCGGTTGCTCGGGAGCCTTTCCTGCTCCTCCGCTGCTCTTCAACTCTTCGCCCAACCTGATATCACTGTGACTCGCAGCATGCCGCTATGATCGAGGAGGAGGAGAAGCAGCAGCAGCAGCAGCAGCAGCAGCAGCAGCAGCAGCAGCAGCAGCAGCAGCAGCAGTTGGGAAAGATGGGGAGAGGGGAGAGAGGCAGCCTCACCCTTGGAAGTATGTTGGAAGCAAGGTCTCCAAGAGCTTGTGAGATAAGTCAAAGTCCTCAAAGATACCTGCGAGAATCCAAAGGAAACATCAGAAAGAAAGGGGAGCGGGGGAGGGAGGACAAAGATCTGTGAGGAGGAGGAAGACTAGTGGGTGGGAGGGGAGAGCGGATGGGAAAGGGAGCGAGGAAAGGAGCCATGCTAACCAACAGCAAGGAACAAAGTGTCTATGTTGTGGAGAGCTTTCTTCAACATAGCCTCTGTTGCGTTCAAATTCTTGTCATAGAGACAACTGGCACATGTTAGTGCGATCGAGCCATGAAGATCGCATCTTACTCTTTCCCCCAACCACAGAAGTATCTTGTTTGCAGATTGCACCACCTTGAGAACTGATGCGAGGTCCTGCAATGACCCAGATCAGTCTCATCAGCTGCCTCGTTGTTTTCACACTACCTGCAAACAGAAACATGCAAACACTCCTCGAAGTTGAGGTTCGTGACGAACTTCGACTTGCCTTTTTGCTGATCGTGCTCTCGGTCAGCTTCAAACTGCTCCTGCAGACGAGCCTGCGACCTAGTCAAATCGAAGTTCTCCCCCTCCTCCCCTTCCAAGGCCTACCAAAGGCTCTCTGATTAAAGTGATGTACCGCACAGTCTCGTTGTGGTTACTCTTGCTCGTTATGTTGTCATCGTGGACGTAGGTGCTTCCAAAGAAGAGTCTGCGATGGGGAACCAGAGAGTTGATCAGGTTCCCGACGTTCTTCCTGCGATCCCTTGAGCAACGGCCACGCAAGGGAAGTCAACTGAACCTGTAGATCACCTCGTACTCAGCATCGTTATAGGCCGTCCGGCTCGCGGGGCTCAGGTACACAGGGGCAGCATACACAGCATCCCTCCAAGAGCGGAGATTGACCAACTCCCACTCCTTGACATTCTTCAGTAGCTGGCACAAACTGTCACTCCGACCCCAGCAGAATCCCAGGACAGACATTTAGAGGAGGTGAGAAAAGTTTTGCGCCAGTCGTGGGAATGTCCATGAAGAAGACTCGCTGCGGGTTTTCAGGCACACATCCCTTGGGCATCTTGGCCAGCAAGTCTGGAGTCAGATCGCAGATCCCCTGACATGGATTCGGCAGGATCTGCGGCAAAACTATGAGGACCGAGGACGTCGGCATGACGCTATCGGGACCTTCTCTTCGTACATGAAGCGGAAGATCGGCATGATGACCGCAAGACTTATGAGTGGAAAGAGCACAACGAGGAGCAGCAGCTTGTATTGAGTCTTCTTCGTACCGTCGTCTGCATCATAACGTTTCAAGGGTCATCGGATCGCGCAGAATATCAACGTCGACAACCTTGCATGTCCTTGATACGCTGCAGCACTGCACAGAGTCATGTCAGGATCTAGAAGCACGCTGCAAGCACGAGCTGACGTTTTCGTCGTTCCTTCAGGTCTTGCTCTGCAAGCTTCTTGTCTGTCTCCGTCAAGACGTCGAACCCTCCGGTGGCCTCCTTCGCCGCTTTCCTGCGCTTCAACGCCATCTCCTTCTCCTTGAGCTGGATAGACTGCATGCACGTCAGGGAAACCAGAAGGAGTGGCGACCATGACCTCAAGCTCGAGCTCAATCCTCTTCCTCTCAAGCTCCAGCTCCTCCAGCTCGTACTCGACACTGATTCCGCCTCCTTCATCCTTGCCCGCTGGCCGCCTGCGATGAGAATAAAGAGGAAGACGCGAGTGGACAGGGGAGGCGTAGGAGAGGGGAGAAAAGAGGGAAGAAGAAGAAGAGAAAACAAAGAGCTGGGACGTGCTATTAAGATGTCTTTCATAAGGTTGTAGAGGGCTAGTCGTCCGAGGAGGCGAAAGCAGGTCGAGGTAGAGGTTGGGGAACAGCAGGGACATCAAGGAGGGGAGGGAGAGGAGGGAGAGGGAGAGGAGAGGAGAGGAGGGGAGAGGAGAGGAGAGGAGAGGAGAGGAGAGGAGAGGAGAGGAGAGGAGAGGAGAGGAGAGGAGAGGAGAGGAGAGGAGAGGAGAGGAGAGGAGAGGAGAGGAGAGGAGAGGAGAGGAGAGGAGAGGAGGGGGAGAGGAGAGGAGAGGAGAGGAGAGGAGAGCATCGACGAGGAGGAGGACGAAGGGACGAGGGCAGCATCGCCCCACCTTTGTCGCAACTGCGAGGCCTCGCTCATTGCGAATGCGCCTGCCGGATAAAAGTTTTTAGAATTAAGTAAGAGTTGAAATCTGCTCCTGCGAGGAGGACGGCAGGACCCATGCGAGATACACAGGTCGCCCATGTGGGAGGCAGCCTAGCCGGGGTTAGCCCGTGCAGGAAGCGATCAACCGTCCTGTGACTGAACGCGGGGGGGGGGGGGGGGAAGGAGGTCCGCCCGCGAGTTGAAAGAGCGCTGGAGATGGGATCGAAATGTCACTGAGGTCCAGGTATTTCGGCACTCCACGATCAAGGAGGGCCTGATGTACCCGCAGGAAGGAGACGAGTAGGGGAGGGAGGACCAGATCCGGCTCGTCCGCTTGACGGAGGGTACCATCCGCAGGATAGAGTAGCGCTCCATTGTAAGAAGGTGGCCGTGGCGATGTAATAAGCTGATAGACTGACCCCTGCTTGAGGCGTGAAACCATCCCCGCCCTCCTGGTATGGAAGCTGACGCTTGAAGAAAGCAAACTCCACAGCGGGGACAAGAATGAAGAGCTGGCCAGGCCGAAGTCAACGTCCAAACCTCCGTCCGACAAGAGTTGAGTGTTCGATTTCTGAGAGTCTTGTTGCTCTTCGAAGTCCTTTCCTGCCCAAACAACCCAAAGTCTTCAGGCTACCTCTACCGGGCCAAAGGATCAAGGTTTTCAGGCTATAACATTACTCTATCCTCCCGCCGACACAGAAACTTGGAGACATTTCTGAAATGTCCTCAACCGATTACAACTGAATCCTCTGCACTCAGGCTTGATTAACAACAGACCAGGCTGAAGAATCTGCGTTTAGAATGCATCAGGCGAGGCGAAAAAAGTGAAAAGCAGGGGCTTGCTGAGCCGGGCCTGCCAGTAATCTGCACGAGTTTCTATGTATTAAATGCGTACAGTAAGATAAATAGCCCTCGGAAGCATCGGAGAAATACGTGAAAACTCTTACTGCCTCAACGAACAGAGAGAGAGACCATTGAAACCTCGTTGCTCTTAATTGATGCCTCCTCCGGCCGCATAGCCTGTGATACTGTGCCTGCGGAACTGGCTTCAGAAAGCGGGCGGGTCGAACCTGCCTGCGTGCCTGCCGCAGTGCACTGCCTGACAGTCAGATTCACGCTGATTGTTCAAACCTCAAAAAGAATGATGGAAATGGCGATAATGAACATTCCAAGGAACAGGGATTTCTTGACGACCCGATCTGTCGGATCATACTTCAAGGCAGTAGGCAGCAGCTCGGTCAAGGATATGTAAGTCATGATCCCCGAGACGATGCCGAAGATAAAAGCGTATGCCCAAGGGCTCATGTCGGAGCTTTTGAGGGCTGTGAAGGCTATCAGAGCACCAAATGGTTCTGCCGCTCCCGAAAAGGCAGTCCATAGAAAAGCCTTGATTTTGCTTCCAGTGGCTAAGTAGATTGGGACTGAAACTATCAAACCCTGCAACAAGCGCTCGCTTATGATAAACGCATCTAGTGCATGTCAGTCACCTCAGGAATATTGTGCAGTGCGATCGCAAATGCAACTCCGACGCCTGCGGTTGGATCTGCAACTGCTGAGACAAAAGTAGCAACGCCTTCCGGGATGTTGTGGACCAGAATGACAACAGCACTTAGTATGCCCATTCGCAGAAGCTCTTTGGCTCTTTCCCTATCCTCTGATAGAACAAGAGACAGGGGCCCGTCCACAGGCCCTTGCTCAAGCTCGTCCTAGAAGCGACATATAGATGATGAGTCGAGACGGAGAAGCATACAAGTTTTGATACCTTAGAAGGAGGTACGAAGTCCTGCATTGGGGCACTGATAGGGGCGCAAAGCGGGATTTGATGGGCATGGGTAGTGGCAATCACAATCGAAGACTGAGATTCCTGCACGTGGGTTTGTTTCATTTGTCTGTCCGCGGCTTCGTCACTCTCAACCTGCTATCTCCATTAGCGTCAGTTCAAGAAGCACCAGTCTTTTCAGGACCTGATGGGACCTTTGCATCATGTAACTTACAAACACGTCGATAAGATGGCAAATAAAGGCGCCAGCAAAGAATGTTAATATGGAGTATCTCATTGCTTCTGCGTCAGACTGCCCAGCTCCCTTGAAGCCCTCGACAGTCTTGATCGTCAAGATTTCGGTAAGGGAGATGAATCTGGAAAGCACAACTGAGCTTCTCACGCTTGCACAAGAGAGCTTGTTAGACATGTCATACATCATGACTCCAGCAGAAGCTGCTAACGAGGCAGCAAAGACCAGTCTGTTCTCTAGTTTGACACAGAAAGCTGCTAGGAATCCCACACAAGTGCAAGCTCCCGCAGCTATGCTGAGGCCAAAGCCCAACGCGATAGTTTCAGTCTGATCAGAATAACTCAGTGGAGACAAGCACGGCTAACACTCACACCTTCATAGTGGCATGCAGCGACAGGACTGACGAATAGATGAAGATTCTCCAGCAACGAAGAGAGGCGAGGAGAGTCTGCGGCGGCAGCGAGTCGTATCTCTATATATAGATAGGGATTAGGCTGACTAGCTTCTGGTCAAAAGGCGCTACCTGTCACCGACGCTAGGGTTGTACCCGAGGATTTCGGCTGTGAGGGTGGGGTAGGGGTAAGCGAAGGTTGTACGTCTCCTTCGGCTGACCGTGCCCTGGTCAAACTCACTTTGCACTTGAGGAAACAGGCTAATCAATTTTTCTGGCCCACTAAACGGAGAGATTTCGAAAATTTAAAAGTATGTATAAGGTTGTACGTCTCCTTCGGCTGACCATGCCGCCCTGGTCAAACTCACTTAACAGGCTAATCGATTTGTGCAACATACCGGTACTATCCGCCCCATTGGATGTGCAGGAGTGGGTGGTACTGCCTTCATAATGTGATCTCGTCAAAATCATTGTGCACAGAGCACTCCAAGGTAGCACCACGCAATAATGCTGACTCATGGTGACATTGAGTAAACATTTTTGTATAGAACCAGAACTGCCCGAAAAATGCAGAGCAAATGACGCCATGTTGCAGGAGCGACGACGACGACAAGAAAGGGCATTTGACCTAATAGAGAACAAAGTCATCGCTGATAGTACGAAGAAAGTTTACCGATGCAAGATCAATAGGATCGTGCCTCTGTTACTCAAAGTGAATCCCTGGGCTGTCGACGAAGACCCGAATTGATACTCCCAATGGCATAGAAAGATTTGAAGAGTTTGTTTGGAGACCTTGTCACCAATACTGACTTACCAAAATCTAGAAAGAGAAGAGGATCATCCATGAGTAGAGATGGGATAGCGGGATCTGATGAAGATCAGGAAGATGATGACGAAGGTCGAGGGCAGGAAGACGAGGAAGACGAGGAAGACGAGGAAGATGTTAGGATTTGTTTACTGAGGGTTGGTCCTCGCTGTCTTTTCTCTTCTCGCCGTACTATGGCCTGTGTGACAGTAGTGCCGGTTTAGTCGACTCTCCTGATTTTCCTCGTACTGATATTTAACTTAACTTTGAGTAAGGCTTTCTTTCACCTGTGACCGTAGGCTGAGTCAGATTTCAGCGAGGGAGTTCCCAATATGACTTCCGTCAATCGCTCATTGCACGTGGAAGCGAATAAGAGAGTAGAGGCGTAACTTGGCATCAAACGCCGGGCCTCCTCTCCTACAGTCGGGGAGTCTGCGGAAGTTTCTGCACAGCCCGCAGGAACTCGTCGAGGGTCACGGAACCGTCTCGGCTGACGACCTGAGAGCTAGTGAGGACCGAGCTGTTGAGAGCGCCAGCAGCGTCACCATGGCGTCAAAGAGCATGCTGAGCTCGTCCTGGTCCCAGCGATGCAGGAGGCCCTCGAAGAGCACATCGCAGGAGAGCCTCCCTTGCCCTGAAGGAGGAGAGGAGGAGCGCCATGAGCTGGTGCGAGAGGGAGGAGGAGGAGCTGGGCAGTAGCAGAACGCGGCAGAGGAGGCGCTTGTAGGGGATCAGCAGGACGTGGCAAGGGAGGTAGAGCAGGGAAGGGAGAGGGAGAGGGAGAGGGAGAGGGAGAGGGAGAGGGAGAGACACATCAACGCACCTTGCTTGTCGATCCTCTGGAACTCGAACATGGTCGGGTCGGGGACGAACGCCACCTTCTTGTGCCTTGACTTCTTCCTAGTCAACATCCTCTCCCTCCTGTCCTCGTCGACTCGTACGCTCAGCTTCTTAGCTAGGACACTCTTGCCTGACCCTCCTGGCAGCGACTTGAGAGGGCTCTTGGCCTGGCACAATCATCAGCTCCTCCTCGAGTTCAGGTAGCAGGCAACCACGTGGTTCACGAAGTTGCCTCGGTAGATTCGAGACTGGAGGATGGCGAGGAGCAGGTCGAGGCAAGACTCGTCCGCCCTGACCTCCCCTCCCTCCTCTTGCTTCTCCGCCCTCAGCTCTACCCTCCTCTGGAATGACGCCAGGTGGCTCCACCTGACCTCCACCTCTCGCGTCCCTTCCATGGCTGAGATTCGCTTCCACCAATCGTCAGTCGCCGTCTCCCCCTTCCAGCCCGACTCTGACTCTCTCAGCTCGTCGCTGTCACTCCTCTCATCGAAGAGGATCGGCACCATCACTGGGATGATGAACTTGTTGGCTTCACAGGCTTGCGCGAACTCCCTCCTGCAGTTCTCGCTCTTGACGTACTTGTCGCTCATAAAGGCAATGAAGACGTCGCATCGCTCTACCCCGAGCTTCATCTTCATGATATGATCCTCCCCGCACAGGATCCCTCCCTCCACGTCCAGCCAGCACAAGAGCTCCGTCCTCGTCTCGATGAAGCGCTTTGCCTGCCGTGCCAGCGTCTGCGTGACGCCTCCGTGGCCCCACTGGTAGCTGATAAAGACTTGAGGAGGGGTAATGTCGACAACGTTGATCGATCCTGCACACTCCCCGCATGTCACGCAGGCGGTCAGGTCGCCGTAGAGCTTGCTGATACACTCCATCCTGTTGAAGAAGAAGGGAACCCGGTTGTGCTTGACGCACAGAGGACAAGGAGCACAGGAGTTGTTGAAGTCAATGACGTCAGCGAGGGTTGACAAGTGACCGCGCTTGCTGCAGCTCAACACTGTCTCCATTGCGCCTTCTACCTCCAAGATGTCGTCAGGAAGTTCGAACTCCCCAATCTCCGACATGTCATCCAACGACCTGAAGCACTCCTTGCACTTGAGACGGTTCTGGTCGTTGACGCAGATTGTTTCTTCAGTGCTCCTTCCTCTCCACAGGTCCAACTTGTTCATGACAGTCTGATACAACTTGTTCATCGACTCATCGGAGCGCGAGAAACTATGAAAGATTCGATATCTTTCCATCCCACTCACTCCCTCCGGCCACCACCGAGTGAAGTCTCGGATGTCCTCGACATAGTCTTGCAGCACAACGGGAACGATCGCTGCTCTCTTCGCAGTCAGGCTGTTCCACAAGTTCAAGAAGGCAGACTCCTCCCCATCGCTCGACCTCAGACATCCTTTGGAGATCAGCAAGATGTGCACGATACAATCTCTGAAATCTTCCTCCTCCCTGCCCTCCTCCTCCTCCTCCTCCCTCTCCTCCTCCCCCTGCTCATTTGCATCCTTGACCACACGCGTGAGTGTGCTGAGCTCCAGGACTTCACCAGAGAAGAATGCGACGGAGGAAGCGGAAGACTGAGTGTAAGAGAACGTTGGAACGACCCTGGCGGGGGTCCCGTGCTCTTTGGCATATCGCAGCAGAAGCTCAGAACGAAGCTCGTCCGCCAGTCTCTTGCTCTCTTCACCCTGGCAGAAGATTCCAACCTGGACCAGCTCAAAGTCGCCGTCCTCCTTCCCTGTGACCTCTCGTTTGAATCGCTTCAGCCCGGGAAAGAACGCCTCCAGTGACGTCACGTCCTTGTCAAGATTGCTCAGCATCTGCTCCGTTGATGCGTGCGCGACGAGCGAGCTGCTGCTCCTCTCCTCCTCCCAGCGCAAGAGGAGCACTCTCCCCCAGCCGAAGAACGCCGCCATGGAGGCGCTACAGTCGACGTCCTTGTACCTCGAAGCGCACTTGACGATGAGGCGGTCAACGAAGCCAGGAGGCAGCGAGCTGTATACGATCCGCATGCACAGGTGCAAGCTCGTCGCTTCTTGGATGGGATACCTGTGCTCCCGCACGAAGTGTGGGATGATGCCAGGGCACAGAAGCTCCTTCCTCAACGAGGAGGGGGGGGGGGACGAGGAAGAAGAAGAGTCTGCAAGCTGCTTGTCGTGCAGGAGATGAGTGGGAGTAGGGAGGAAGTGGGCAAGATCGCAACCACGCAGGAGGGCGACAGCTTTCTCTGTGTCTATGCGCCTGCTCGGCTCAGTGCTGAGCTTCCAAAAGTCTCCTCCCAGCTGGTGCGGGTGCTGGGGCCAGAGGAAGGGGAAGAGAAACTCGTGGATAACGCCCAGGTGAAGCATTCTCTTCACCATCTTCGACCTGCTGGGATCCTGCTGGAAGAAGTCGATCAGAGCTTGCCACTCGTGCCGCAAGATGCCCTTGAAGACTTCGACGATCCAGAAGGGATCGATGAAGACCGTGTCCTCAAACGAGTACCTCTCCCTCCTCTCCACCTCCTCCTGCTCGATCGTCCTCCTCAGCGCCTTGCCGAAGTACTTCAGCACGCCCGTCTCATGCAGGAAGGTGGTGGCAACGACCATCTCGTCTCTGTCCAGCTCTGCTCCCTCCATCATCTCCCTGTACTCCCGCAGGTCGATGGAGGAGCGATCCTCCTGCGCCCTCCTCGTCACCGCCTCCTTCAGCTGCAAGAAGCTCCTTGGAATCCTCTCCTTCCACCACAGCAGCCCTTTCGCCACCCTGCAGATCGCGGCTCGCAGCTCCGCCACCCCTTCCCCCGTCACCGAGCTGACCCGCATGCTCTCCCCCTCGTTGATGACGTTGAGCGGGAGGATGGTCTCGACCTCGTGCCTCGCCATCAGCCTCTTCTCCTCCAACACGCATCGCCTCACCGCCTCGCACTGCTCCTCCACCTCCTCCCTCGTCCCCAAGTCCACATGGGTGGCCACCAGCAGGATATTCGCTCCCGGCACTCTCGCCTGGATCGCTCGCAGCCACAGGGATACGCTAGTCTCCAGCTCTTCTCCCATTCTCATCCTCTCCCCCTCTCCCTGCCCGGGAGCCTGCGACCTCACGTTCCACACGAGGAGGTAGAGGGCCCGTCGGACTAGGAAGTACAAGTTTGTCTTGGTATACACCGCCTGCCCTCCGAAGTCCATCACGTCAAACGTCAGCCCGTCCTCCTCCTCCTCCAGACTCCAGTGCTTCAGGTCGATGCCTATGGTACGGCCCGTGTCCTCGTCGATCTTCCCAGCTCTGCTCTCAGCGGACTGGAGGGCGTGAAGGACGCTCGTCTTGCCGGCCTCTCCATTGCCAATGAGGATCAGGTGCATGTGCTTGTTCTGTATGCTCGCCTCCTGCACCCGCTGCAGGTACTTGAGCGCAGCCTCTCCTCCCTGGTCGGCGATCTCGGGGGGCGGCAGGCTGAGGGAGGGGCATCGGTTGCAGATGAGCGCTTCGAGGAGAGGATTCTTGCTCTGAAGGTCGTCCACGGGGAGGCTGAGGAGTGAGGGGTTCCCGGACACGTCCAGCACGCGGACTGGGACCGACAAGTTTGCGGCCCAGCTGGGGAGTCGCCGGAGGCGGAGGTCCCTTGACACGTTCCACTTCATGGTGGAGGTGTCGAGGGAGAGGTCAAGGATGCACTTGCTGCGGTCATAGCAGCAACTGAGCTCTCCAGCTGAGAGCAACGCCTCCACTTGGCTCCTCCCTTCCTCCTCCTCCTCCTCCTCCTCCTCCTCCAGCCCGAAGAGGTAGTGTGCGAGGAGGAGATCGAAACGTCGGTGAAAGGTCAGGCCGATGCCGGTGGGATGCGAACGGCTCTGCTGGATGAGGAGAAGGTCCCGTGACAGGTTGCGCCCACTCCTCCTGCTGGCCAGCTGCTGCTCGAGGTCGCGCATGACGAGGAGACGAGCTTGACAGGAGGGACACATGGTTGCCTTCCTCCTGCCCTCAGTGAGCTTGTCGCAGTGACAGATACAACACTGTGTCAGACGTCAAACTGAATTTGACAAGAAGGGGAGGGCGGAGATGAAGCGAGGGGAGTTCGAGGAGAGGAGAGGAGAGGAGAGGAGAGGAGAAAGGGGAGGAGAGGAGAGGAGGAGAGAGGAGAGGAGAAAGATTTGAAGAAAACAGGACTGAGGGAAGACACTTACTCTCTGAAAAAATTGAATTCAGAAGAAGAAGGTATGAAAAACAAATGGAGGTCATCAGAGGATTGCAAGGTCACAAACTCACTGTCTGTATACAGGACAAAATCAAGAAAATAGTCAGACGACCGAGAGTATGAATGCATGATAACAACTTACATCCTGATGTTTCATAGAGGTCACATTTGCAAGCGGAAGCCAAATAGATATCAAAGCGAAAGTCATGAAGTCAATTATTGTTAAAAACAACACAAAAAGATGTTTCCTCACCCGCTGTTTGTATGTGATAGTTCAGATTCAAGATTCCAACATCGACGTCAATCGCTGACATGAACGAAGGTGATGTTTCTTACATGGCAGAACTTGAATTGGGTGTGATGTTCACCCTCCAGCTTTCCGCACCCCTTGCACTTGTTGTCATCTCCCGCTCGGAAGACATACTTGTACATATCTCAGTCGCAAAGAGGAAACGACAGAAATCTGTCGAACTCACCGCCTATTTCATTGTCATCACTTGTCGTTTTACAACAAATATCAACAGAACACTCGCATCATACATTCACTCACCGCCTTTGTACGATGATGTAGCCATCACACAGTAAGAAAACAAACAAGTCATTCTCTAGAAATGCGCTGAAGAGCTCAAGTTTATAATGGTACCGTCTGTTGTATGACAGATTATAAGTGGGAAAAACGATCTTTCACAAAGAATAAAATCAAGAACTTGTACTTACATCCTGCAGCAAGAGAAGTTCAAAAAGAATTTCGAAACTTTCAGTACGATTCTCGTGCTTCAAAGTTTCTCACCGCCTGACCACAAGGAAGACAAGCGATGGATGTGACGGAAAAGCATCAATCACAAGTTGTCTTGTAGACTCTCTCCCTCTCCACTCACCATCTGAGTTGAAAGTCAACAACGAGACATCATCCACAAGAAAAATTAGAGGAACAACAGAGTTTGAAGAATGATTTCTTACTCACCATCTACTCTCCTCAGTCCCGCACCAGGAGGAAAATCGCAGTTCAAAAATGCAAACGTCAGAGACCGTTGATACAGAGTGCATCGCGATCGTACCGACTGGCATTGTAGCAGGTTGTTGTGTAAAAAGACAACATTAACATCGTGAAATCAGAATATAGCAAAGCTCTTACCGTCTTTATGCCGGAGGAAACAACCAAAAGAACATCATTGCACAGTGATTACAAGAATGAAGAGAATGCAAAAAGGAGGCAAGAGGGATAGAGCAAGGATCTTACACGCTGCGAACAAGGTCAATCGAGTACCAGAAACAACCACAGACATTGCAAAGTACAAGCACAGGATAATCTTACTCGCTGTTTCCCGGAGACGAAGAATGAATCATCCGACAACATGGATTAGCGAATTGATTTGAAAGTTGAAGATTATCACATTCTGCAAACTCGTTCAGAACCCTTTGCATGGTTGCAGGAAAGACAGCAATCGAAGTCATTACTTGCTGCCCGTCGCATAATCGTCATCGCAGTAGAGAAAAAGGAGCGTCAGACATGCTTGCAGACATCGCAAGAAATCAATATCACTCTCTTCAGATTTCCGATGAAATTGAAAGTGAAACGAAAGCAAAGAGTCAAAGAAGTTAGCTGCACGTGTCGTAGAGATCACGATCGGGTCACTCACTCGCTGCAACATCATCACGAGTTGCGTCAACCATCAGATAAAAAAGTGAGCGCTCATGAAGATCGTCTTACAAGGTTTACCGTCTGCACAGAACAATCCATCAGTTGAGACATGCTTTGAGCCAGACAAGACTCACCGCCTGTTGTCCAAAGTACAATGAAGTCGAAGTCAAGTTTATCATCATCGCCATCATCGCCATCGCCATCATTATCATCGTCGTCGTCGTCGTCATCGTCATCGTCATCGTCGTCGTCGTCATAGAGTCAGTGAACAGCAAAGGAGATGTAAGACAGCACACCCGCTAATGACCAGCAATCGTTGATTGAGTGCGGAAAGAAAGGAAATCAAACTCAATGGACAGACGATACAACATTGCAAACTCACTCGCTAATCACAGAAGATGTTTCGCAGAGTTGGAGAACAAACAGAGTCAACACAGTCTCAGCAGAATCAATCTGCTTCTTACTCGCTGCACATGACATGAAGGCCAATGTAGCGTCCATCCGAGAAGAATCATGTTAGAGAGGAACACAACAAGAGCAAAGACGCGTACGAGCTGCGGCATCAGAATGAGTCAGTCAAGAACTTTGCATCGTTCGTATGATGAAAAAGATTGGCTCTCACAGGACAGAACTTGTGCTCTGTGCGATGATCCTTCTCCTCCTTGCCGCACAAGTCGCATTTCCCCTCCTCTCCCGGCGTGAAGACGTACTGAGGGTGCGATGAGGAAGGAGTGGAAGCAGACTATTTCGTGACTTACCGCCTTTTCCCGTGAGAACAGCAGGTGCAACATGCAGAGAAGAGAAAGCAAAGAGTCAATTGCTTATCTTAACACAGACAAAGACTCTGACTTGCTGCAAAACCATGAGAACAAAGGTCAGATCAAACCGAAAAACATTGTGACATCATTTCAACTCTGTCAGTCGCAGCTTGCAAGACGATTCTTACCGACTATCATGGAGGACGACGAGGAGCAAACGAGATCGGATGTCAGAGATGAGCTACACCGTAAAGAGAACAGCTCACACTCTGATCCCAAAGACGACAGAGATAAATGGTGAGCACAGGTAGGAGTCTCTTGTCAGTGCATGAACAACGATGAGGTTGGGTAGACATACCGTCTGATAGTCGCAACAACAGGAATAGCATGTCCAGGAGGTAAAGACAACGTAAGTTCGATCTCGTGAATCGCATCGCACTCACTCGCTGATGTGAAGTTCCGTCGAAAACCGTCGATCGCAAAGGAGAAAGAAACTTTCAAAATCGTCCAAGGAATGTCATCACTTACCCACTGTTGATGCCAACCAGATCAGTAAGTGAAGCAAAGAACATCGTCAGCTGTCCGGGCAGGTGTCAAGTGTACAAGAGTCAACTTACAGCCTTCGGTTCGTTCGTCACAGCCATGGGAAAAGAACAATCAGATTGGAGCAAAATTGAATGTTTGAAGCTCACGCAGCATCCTCCGTCGGAAGATCCTTCTTCGACGACGATCTGAACTATCCTCAGCAAGATTGCATGGAGGGTGCGAGGGCTCTCTTTCAGTAAGCACGATGAGGAGGAGCAATGCCGCAGTCAATGTCGATGGTGCAGAAGCAAGCGAAGGTGGTGGGGGAGGGAGTGGAGGAGAGCAATCAGCCTATGAGAGAGAGGAGGATTGCGAGGGAGGAGGATCGTGAGGGAGCAGGAGGAGCAGGGAGGAGGAAGAGCATGTTTTACCGCACAGTCCGAACAAGGCCAGCCCATGGCGCGATGCGATCCGAGCAAAGATACGATGGGATGCCGGGAACCCAGTAGGGTGGGGTGATCAAGGGGGAAAGAGCGGGTGGTCGAAGAGGACAGGGGTTCCCTGAGGAGGGGTGGTGAGCAGGAGCAAAGTAAAGTGAGGGGAAGAGGGGGGTATCCGACCATGGAGCATTATAAATATTCTATAAATTGTACCATTGGTACAGATTTCAGAATTGAAAATATTGAGTATAAAAATATGGTACAGAATCACTACTGGTAATGAACAAGGGGTCATGCTCAGTAAAGTGACTTATCTCTGTCGAACCCCACCTGATGCCTTGCGACCTCTTGTCCATTAAATCTTCTATGAAACATTGAAAATAACTGGTAACATTTGAATACTGAATCGTGTTTTCGCCCAGTTTGCTCAGGAACGCAATCGGAGAGCCGTAGGGAGGGTCGAAACGACAAGAATGCGAGTAGGCGATGAAACATGCGAAGCCTCGTCGGACATCGTCCTAGCCCGTGATAGACATGCAGAGACTTCAAGGCAAGGAGACGATGAGAGAGGACATGGTGAAGAGGGCGTTAGACACAACCTTGACATGTACACGGAAGAGATTCGAGATGAGTTCTTGCGATATGCTGCGCAAAGGCCAGGAGACTATCTTCAGACGCATCTCATGGCATGTCAGACAACGGTGTACCGCAAGGACATCAAGAGGATAATCTCATCTGCAAGACCGCTGCATGCTCTGGTGACTCTGAGGTCGATTCAGATCCTCTTGCTCTGCTCTGGGGTCCTCATGCTATTCGCATTGACAAGCCATGGGAGCGCGTTCCTGCCCTTCTCTCAGGTTGGCAACCATGAGGTTCGGAGCTCGCGATTCTTTCGCCTCCATGTTCACACCTTCCGAGGAAAACATGGCAGCATGGGCATCACCTCGTCGACGGCGTTCGTGCATGACTTCGGCGCCCTGCAGAACAATTGCAAAGTGAAATCAGACCGGGCGAGCTATGAGTACTCGCAGAACAGCATCGTACTGAGGTTTGAACGAGAGATCACTTTTGACGGGTGGTACTTCGTTACCAACAACCTTAGCATAGAAGCAGATCCCATCGACTTCAGGCTTGAGACGTCCAAGGACGGGGACCGGTGGGACGAGGTGGGTCTGCCGTGGGTGTGCGGCAGCAAACATGAGCGAGACGTTGTGAAGCACAAGAACTTTTCTTTTCCTACTCCTCTCAAGAGGCTAGAGGATGTGAAGTTCGACTTCTCGACCCTCTCGTGTACCTACGGTCAGTACCTAGTCCTCATCGCAATGCTGATAGAAGGCTCCATGACAATCGTTGCTGCACTGGTTGCCCTGCTAGATTTCTACGGAATACCGATAATGGTGTGCTCGGCTATCATGAATACTGACAACTGACTAGAGTCATTCTTCAGATCTTGGCTACCAGCAGCTTTGTCCGCAGCGTGCTGCAAATCGTCGCGTTTGTCGCGCTGTATCGAGAAAACCATGTGGTATCCATTGCTGGGTATGACGTAAGGACCATTCTCATCGAGGCGCTGACGGTGATGCAAACATATCAATCCTCTCTTCTTCTCCTCTCTTTGTCTTCTTCTTCCCTCAGCTGTTTCATTCCAATCCATCGTTCTCCCCATCTTCTTCCTATTTGATCCCCTTGCCCTCCCATCTTCGCCTGCATTCATCCTCTCTCCTTCTTCTTGCCTTTTCCTCTTCTACCTTGCTTTGTCTTCTACCTTGCTTTGTCGTGTACCTTGCTTTGTCTTCTACCTTGCTTTGTCTTCTACCTTGCTTTGTCTTCTACCTTGCTTTGTCTTCTACCTTGCTTTGTCTTCTACCTTGCTTTGTCTTCTACCTTGCTTTGTCTTCTACCTTGCTTTGTCTTCTACCTTGCTTTGACTTCTCTCTCCAGACGATGATCTTCTTCCCAGCTTGGGGGTTATTCAGCCCACCAACGGTCTTCCCGACAGCTCTGATCTGCAGCATCATCCTAGCGACATGTTCCTTGGTGCTGGGAGATGTTCCGGTCATAAGCCTTGTCATAGCCGCAGCTTCTTGTTGGATGATTGTATACATCGAGCAAGTGAAGAAGGATTGCAGGCGGAGTGTGAAGGAGGATTTCGTTCAGCTGAGTGCTCTGTGGAGCAAGATGTCGTCTAGCAAGGAGGCGGAGGAGGAGTTGAATGAGATGAAGATGCTGATCAGTCGATGGAATGACAACAACAGCGACAAGCAGACTTACGGTCTTAGACACCTCAACAGCTTTGTTCTTACAAGCAGCTCGCTATCACCTATCAGGGCAGGGCCGGGTCAGGGTCTGAATGCACCGAAATTGATCTCGATAGACAACACAAACCTCTCCATGTACGTCGATTCTCTCGATCAGTTGTACTGTCAGGCCGTTGCAGTCTACCCCATCCTCAACCACAAGACTCTGCAGCTCGCTGCTCAGTGTGATGGTCAGCTCTGCACAACTTCGGAAGGAGAGTTTGTTCATGCAGCAGACGCTCTCGCCAACGAGAGTGTCAGAAACAAAGTGCGCTGGGAGAAGATCAAGAATGTGGATGAAGTTGTAGATGACATAGCGACTCGTTATGATTGGGATGTCTCGAAAGCTTGCGACCTTGTGACTCAGAGGATTGTTTTCTCTGACCTGCCGAGCTTGAAGAAGTGTATCAGCATCATGGCTGGGGATACAGACATCTCCATCGTCGAGATTCACAATCACTTTGACAAGCAGGACGGATCCAGAAAACTTGCCGGATACCGAGATTGTAAAATTTACTTCCGCTTCAAGACTGACAGCGCAGTTCAGAGCTGTGTGAGAGGATTTGTCTGCCGACTCGTCCTCGAGCACGTTCAGTTTGTGATTCACAGCAGCGTACATCAAACCCTGCGGCGACGCTCGTACCTCCAGATCATGGCACCCAACGTGTCTTCCCTTACCCAGGACCTCAACGAGAGGGGCTGGTTGTCCATGGGGGGAAGGAGGAGGCAGAGGGCTCTGTCAGTCGTGACTATCATACCAAACGAGGATGTGAACTCTGTCATCCCCCCTCGAGAGCAGGAGCTGCTCATGCATCGCTGCTACTACCCCGGAAGCGTCCTAGACAATCGTCTCAATGAGGAGCGACTTGCGGTCAAGACAGCAGCGACGGTCAGCGTGTGGTTCACCTCTCGTCCTACCACTCACGCTCTCGGCAAGCCGATAGTGCATGGAATCTTGTTCCTCTTTGCCATCTACTACTACTACCGCACCTTTGAGAGCTTCAAAGCCTCCATGCACAACAGCAAGTTTCAGGCCTACCATGCTCGCTTCACCGCCATCGAGTACCGCAACGGCTCCCTCGCCACGGACGCAATCGGCCCTCGTGTCGGCACTCTCGGGTTCAAGCTCGACGGCTGTCCAGTCGACCTGCCAACGACGGGCGTCGCTACAGTCACTCGCGGTCGCCACTTGTACCTCAGCATCCCCAGCCCCATCACAGCCAACGGCTGGACCTTCTCCACGCTGCTGCAGGCGGACAGCCAAGACCTTGACCCCGTCAAGTTCGAGCTGCATGTGCTCGACCGTCAGGCAACCGACGCGCCATGGCTGGTGGAGGAGAGTTCGTGGAAGTACGTGTCAGGGTCAGTCTGCCGGTGGGTCTTCCTCGAGATCACCTGCACCTTCATCGAAGGCGACAAGTACGACACCAACTTGATCCGCGGAGCTGAGAATCAGGTGGACCTGCAGGTGCCCTGGTACAGCATCTTGATCGTCGTCTACGGTCACTTCTTCGACGGCAACTTCGTCCTCGCCACCTGCCTCCTCGCAGTCGCCGGTCACGTGCACGCCGCGCGCATGACCTACGGGTTGACCGTCGGGTTGATGGTGAGCGTCTTGGAGTTTACGGCAGCGACGGGACAACTCTCGTCTGAGAGGCCTTGGGACAGTTTCTACGTGTGGGTGTATGCGGTGATGTTCACTCTGCTGGGACTTATACTGATCTTCAAGGAGAGCTTGATTCCCCCATTCATTCCCGTCCTCTTCTTCACCACCATGACAGGCATGCTCGTCAACAACTTCCTCATCATCAGGAGATCCGCCATCGACTTCCCCCCGGTCCGAGCATCGTCATGTGTGTCGCCGTTGTCTTCCTCTTCTTTCGCACCAAGATCATCTACCAGTCACGGCGAGACGTCGAGGGTGACAAGCGCCAGTACGACGAGGTCTGGGACCAGCTGGTATCCCAGCCGTCCTCCCTCAAGGCCCTCGACGAGCTCGCACAGCTGGCCGCATCCATCAGGCAGTCCGACAAGATCGTACAGACTGTGCGGAGGATCGACGGGCCCGGGGAGAATCTCTTCGTGCCCCAGCAGACCGCCGCCCCTCCGCTCACTGCCATGCTGAGGAGCGTGCACGTGCCCTGGTGGAGGAGAGGGCAGGAGGAGGGCCTGGATGGGAGGAGGATAAGGTCGCTGGATCAGCTTTACGCGCAGGCTGCTCTGCTGGAGCAGCACTTGCGAGAGAAGGCGATCGCGCTGTCACGAGCCTCCAACGGCTTGTTCGTGCTCAACTCGCCGGGGCAGGAGCAAGAGCACAAGGTGACCTTCATCCGGATGGAGGAGGCAGAGGCGCAGGGCCTAGTGCAGCAGATCAAGTTCGCCAAGTTGAAGGGAGTGGACCGAGCGATCGAGAAACTCTCTCGGTCCTACAACTGCGAGGTCTCCCTGCTGGTGGACGTAGCGAGGCAATGCGTCGTCTTCGAGGCTGTCGAGGACCTCTGCTCCTGCCTCCGAGCCATCATGAGCGACCCCGAGCTGGAGATCATCCGCATCAAGAACAGACTTGACCTTCACTACCGCTCCGACCGGTCGGCCGGGTACCGTGACGTGGCGATGAACTTGAGGATCCACTCGAGCGAGTCCAAGAGGCTGGGACTGTCGGGGCATGTCTGCGAGATCCAGCTGGTGCTCAAAGAGGTCATGATGCTCAAGTCTGTCGTCGGGCACAAACGATATGTTGTGTTCAGAAACGTCAGGTGCGAGTGAAGGGCAAGATCCTGGAACTTGTTCGAGGAGAGGCCAAAGCGAGGAGTGATTGGCAGTTTGCTGTTTTCTCTACTGGCCCTCGGTTGTTGAGATTTGTGTTGTATATTGAACAGTGTTTTCCATCGTACAGTAGTTACATGAGATGAAATGATTTAATGAAAACTCTTCGGTTCACGTGTTGACCACATACCAATCTTTGCCATAATAGTTGAGTGGTTTCAGATTTTGGAACATCGCCCCTCAGTTCTGCACGTCTTTCTCGCATGCATTCGAACTGAATGCAATCTTCGTCATCACCGTATTGATTTCTTTCTCCCCTGGACCCACCACATGCTCGAATAACCTCGTTCCCTTCCCTCCTTGTATCCATTCCTCACTTTCTTCTACCTTCTCCTTGAATCTCGCTTCACCATACCCGACCCTGAACTTGAGCATGAATGAACCTACGAATCAACCTCGTCGTAACATAGCATCTTCAAAGTATTTTCGTAGTATCTTCATAGTATCTTCGTAGTATCTTCATAGTATCTTCATAACATGTTCATAACGTGTTCAAAACGTGTTCAAAACATCTCCATAACATCTTTATCCTCGCATGTGGTTGCAGCATGGAAGGTAAAAATATTGACTATACACATGCAAATGTTTTGACTATTATGATCACGATGTGTATATTGACTATGGGCATGCAATATTTCACTACAACAAAAGATTTTGACTATAGATGTGGTAACGAGTTGCCTGCTAGGGACCTGGCTAGGGACACGGGCCGGCAATCCATGAAGATGTTGCGATGAGATGAAGGGAGGGAGGGAGACTGTT